TCGCAGTAACATTTACGCGTATTTTCAATATTATATGGAAAAGTAAGAAGGTTCTTCGCACTTTTGAATTTTACTTACTAAAATAAATCGATGTCCTTGCATAAAGAGTTATCTCATTTAGCCGATTCAAGTATTTTTAGACTGGCATTTTGTCATAGATAGCCGGGCCATGTGCCAAATTTGGGAAGTTCAAGGATTTATGACGCTTTCGATGTTTAAAACAATAACAAAGTGTGAGAAATCTTTTTTCGCTTGTTGAATCAACCATTTTAAGTTTATACGTAAAAATATCAGTTTTTCTCCGATTAGAAATTTCGTTATTAATAATGAACGAAGTCATTTGTAAAAACCTAAAAGTAAGGCGGCAGAATGAAAGCGAACTGCTTGAATTGTAGCGATAATTTGCGTTATTAGACAACCTTTAATTAGAAGGGGAATATTACAGGATATAAATAAATGATTGAAGAAACAAGCATAATTAAGTGCCTGGTCTAACCTAGCTAGAGAATTGAAACATCTCACAAAAAAATTAAAAACATTGACGGTCTTGGTTTGCTAAATGGATTCACGTCTGTATTTTCATAGTTCGAAAAAGTGACAAAATCAAGATATCAAGAATAGAAAGTTATAACCAATTTTGAGATGCAAATTACTCAAAATTTCTCCCCTATAGACATCATATTACCGGGAATTTATTAAACAAAGTCAAGATTATAATTTTGTTAATTTTTCCATCAATTTTGCATCTTCGCCAAATTAAAAATCCATATTTACTATTAGAAGGATGTTAATTAAAATAAGGCTGTATTGAGGCGGCCGGCTTTTTCGGATTAACAACGGTGTGAAATTTTCTAATTGAATAGCGAAGCAAGTTCATTGATTTTGGAGCGCTGGTTCGCCGACATAACTATGGAACGGAATCCCCGGAGAGATACTAAAATTTTTATGTCTGCCCTCCTGGAGCGAAAACATTGACGAGCGTGTTGAAACGTGCGTCCGAGAGTCGGCACGATTTAGATCGAATAAATGCGAATTTTGTGTACTTTCGAGCAGATATTCGAATTAGATCTTTATTAGAATTATGTTGTTTAGCAATATTTGTACAAAAATTATCGTGAACGAATAAATTAAAGAATGCATTTTCTGTGGAATGTTCCACATCTTTGCTTATTAGAACAAGATTGAACACAATGGCGTTTCTACGATTCTTGTTAAACCAGAGTAGACCTGAAAGTAGAAGATTTAGCCAATTGAAAACGAGAAGATGCTTTATCATTTCTTATGTCCGATTTAGTATTTCGTGCTTAGTTTTGTGGAAGCATTTTTCAACGCATTTCAAAAATATTCCAAATTAACCTCCTACGTATAGACTAATTCCAAAGACAGGTCGTAGTTTTTTTTATGAATTCACCAGATCATTTGTTTAGATTCAGATATTTATTTTTCGTCGTGCAAAAACATCGTACATTTGAACAAATAGTAAAAATTAAATAAATTCATTGAAAGAAAAACGTACAATATTTGAACTGCAATGGACGAGGGGTTTATGTGCCCAATACTAGGCCGATCCCAGAAATAGTATTGGGAGACATTAAATAGGATAAAAGTTGGAAGAAATGACAAAATATTTATTGTTAAAAATCGAAACTGAAGTCATAACCTTATATTTGAAATTTGTATTATGATAACTGCAATCGATTACATAAAATATCTGATCCACTTATTTTTAGAAATTGTTGCGTATAAATTTTGTTGAATTTATAGTATGGTGGCTGTTTCAAAACAGTTCTTGGATTGAGGGCAAAAACTCAGACTATATAATTTAGCTATACTTTCATTTATTCACAGAACAGAAGTAATTTCATTTTATTATTATTGAGATATCGATTTAGAGTTCGATAACAGACGGTCGTGTTTTAATCAACGCGTCGTAACCTGCGCTGGTTTTGTTTTTCCATTGGATATAGTGCAATACATGAACGGAAATGATTCGGGGTTACGTTCTTTTGTCGGGTTCACAGGCAAATACTAGACTAATAAATACGATCAACTCAATAAATTCTCAACCACAGCAATGTTTTTTTAGGTAATCTTGCTTCGACAAATTGCAGTTTTCCAAAATAAGTAACTGTGAAAATTTATTGGTCTCTGCAGAACAATTTGTTATTTATAAGTTAAACGAGTTAATTGTCAAATGAGAAATCTGTCCACCTTATTAATAGATAAATAAATTACAATAAATGAAAGAATTTTTGCATGGCAGATATTTTATGACAAGACACATTTAAGTCATTACCAAATAATTTTTATAGGTTAAGTTAACAGTGTATTATGTCTATTAAATAGTCGTAGACTGCCTTATAAAAAAAAATAACTAAATACCTATTTCAATTTTTTCCTCAATATTTGTCTAGAATTTAAATTGGCAAAGAATGGTATCAGTACAGTTTATACTTACTTATTTCTTCCATTTGTCTAATAATCAATGAACCAAATCAATCATCTAGTTAGTCTTACTACAAATTCAAATTTTGGAGGTATAAGTCGTATGAGCAAATGCCTAAATGCGTAAATGTAAAAAAATTATACTATTTTTCAAGACGTTATCCTATCATCTCTGTATATGCTCTCGTGACGTAAATCAATATCAAGGGCGTAAACAAACTAAAATAAAAATATTATTTGAGTAACGGTGACGTGACGCAATATTATTGACGTTTTAAATAAGGTTTTGTCACTGTGACTTTAATTTACGTTGTATCTTGAGTCAAAAAACAAATTAAATTGTATTATATGAAATAAACAATACGAAAATATTAGTACGCACACCAGTTTGTCCCCAAGTTTACGAATACGAACACGGTTCGAATCTGTAATTATATGATGCCCGACGCAGCTCCAACGCTAAAGATCTTAATCAATTCGTTTGAGGTTAACGGAATGTTCACGTTATGTCTAATAATACTTAGGGTTGCAAACAAGTTTGTATTTCGAAAATTTGTTTTCAGAAGCCAAATATCATCTGATTATTTTAAACTCAAGTGGAAGCACGTCGATTAGCCTACTCAACAATTATGCTTTACAGTTCACACCAGTAATTTCACCTGCAGCCCCTAGAAGGGCCTAGACCAACTTCTCTAGTATTGACTTGTGACATCACACTTTAATTCTTAACTTGAATATAATTGTATTTGAATATCCAGAAACAAGCGTATGTACCAGTGCATACGGTCAGTCAAATACCCAACATCTTTTTATAAGTTACAAATAATTTTATCGCTAATAGCAAAATATCAACAACCCTCGAAACCTTGACGGGCCCCCTTTTTTAATATTGACGTACTGGCTTACACGTTTATAAAGCAGATAAGCATTTGGTTATACGGTGATATTCGCGGTCGTACAAAATGTCTACTTTTGGTCTGATTGAGTTATGATTATCATCTGATCCCAGAAAATGATTTTACTGTGGAAAGATCTGTCGGCAACACTACGATTTATGTTGATGTATTTATAATTTGATGATTACTTTTGTTTATATCGTTCTTGTCAAGTCATGCCGCAACATGTTTTGTTGCACATTTGAGTACTAATTTACACTATCATGTGAGTTATTATGTATGAAAATATTCCCTTCTCAATACTTATATTGCAATACTTCAAAATCAAATAAATTTGCGGTGCAGTTTGCTCCAGTATGTCAAACATATTGTGAGGTTTATTCTGACTTGGTTGAATACAGATTCTGTGTGCTTGTTAATACTATTGTGGCAGAGGGATATTAATGTTGTAACTGAACACACAAATAGGAATCAGTAGGATTAAATTTAGACTTGTTTGTATTATGGGACTACACAACAATGTGGGACCGAATTCTGAACGGAAATGGGGTTCAGCGAGGATCGGGCCTGAGATCGGAAATAAAGCAAGAGAGTAAGTAATGTATTGTTGAAGGAATGTCGTGTGAATCATCGACCATGGGGCATGGCAAACTAGATTTCAACAGCAGAACACTTGAATTCTAGTGTTCGTTTGTTATAAACGAAAAAGACTGATAAATGTTAGATATATATATTTTTTTTAAGTATGGATTTTGGATTGAATGGGCAATAGATTTACCTGATCTACCAGATATTTTATTTGTCCTAATAATAATTGCTGCTTTTAAATAGATATTTCTAATTTATTGTCTACTTCTGTAGAAAGAACCCTCATTTATAAGATTGCAGGTTATCATCGATATAATCTGACCGTATGAGGCATTATAATTTCAACTTAAATTTCATAATTTCATGAAACGTGCCCGACCTATTCATGACTGAAAATATTGATACTTCAAAGTACAACTAAAAAATTGTGTGTACTGGAGATGGAAATACGAATATTAGTACAGTTTAAAAAAAACTTCAAATAAAAGACAGCTTATTTCATATAAACGTGGTTTAAAAGTTTAAACAACGAGACGAAATTTGTTAAATTCAAATTGCTTTTTCGACAGGTAGATTCACTACCCCACTTCAATATAACAGTATAAGCGCAATGTTTTTGACACGTGTTTATATATAATCCATATTGCTTACTAATGCTTACCTCAAACATTCGATGACAATAATTTTAAAACAATTAAGTCAAGTTCATTTTACCGCCGTTTACAACTTTACCTATTAAATTATTTATGAGATTACGTAACTTAGAACAAAGACTTTTCCGAAATAGTAAAGTAAAAGTCCGGACGATGAACTTGGACACTTCTTAGTTGCATCCAATCAATTATCCTGCTGAAATTCAGGTTGATATCAACTGATTTTCCAGCAACGTGTCATTGTAATGTATTCTTTAAATTAACGTAGTAAAATACATAAATCAGCGACGTAATTAAACGCGATGCCGTGTTATGACTGATGTTGCTGACGTTACTATAAGATTTGATTTAAATGTGCAGATTATCAAAACCTAATACCTAACATGTAGACAACAATAAAAAAAAATTTCATATTCAGCACACTCTTCCAAGACAAAATCGTCAGAACTTACTCCAGGACACACTCTAGAGCTCCAAGCAATGCTACTCGAGATCTCATGGAAGGAAAAGTACCGACTCATCGTCGAAGACAAACAAGGTATTTTATTGTTTAAATTCTTGAGCAATAAGAAGGTAGATTATTTTTTAGTGTATTCAACTCCGACAATCTTTTCATCAAAGTCAATTTTTACAAGCTGGATCACTCCCAGTGCAATTTTGCGGGTAGACGAGCGACCTATGAATTGTCCAAAGGGTACTTAATAACGTTTAGTTTGGGAAAACCTGCATTAAAACGACAGAACAAGCCTTGATCTGAAGTATCTGAATTAAAAATCAAAATATATCATATTACTGCGAAACAACTCTGATTTATACAGTTTGGTTCAATTATTATAGTCTTACCATTCTCGCATTAGTTTTTGACAGCAATCATCTTCTATTCGAATACTATGACTGCATTTTATTTAATCGTTATAAATAATAGAATACACACGTTTTATCTCCGAAGCGTGATAACGTTTTTTTTTTCTAAACTTTTCCTCTGAGCAGGGGATGTATAAAATAATACTGTAACATCACAAAATTTTGTTTTATCCTAATTTTTTCAAACTGCTGTTAGTGTATGTATGTAGAATTTGGGGTTGTTGATTTATTACGTTTTATTTTTAGATTTGTAATGAAAAATGGTCATTGTAATGTTCGACATGGAAATGTTGAAGACCGTTCTCGGTATTTGTCTGACTTGTTCACAACCTTAGTAGATTTGGATTGGAGGTATAACGTGATGATATTTACGACGACATACACAATCACTTGGCTTGTTTTCGCCTTCGTATGGTGGTTTATGGCGTATTATAGGTGAGACTTGGTTTATTTTATCAAATCAAAGCTGCTAACCCTTTCTAAAAAAGGATTTAACTTTATTTCGAAAAGAATGAGTAAAAAAACACTCCCGAGGTGGATCTTCTGTCGAAAGTCCTCGCCACTAATGTAAATATATGAGATTCAAGAAAAACACCCCCGCCCCGTTTTGAAATAAGAAATTCCAGTTAGGGTTCGGTTTGGGAATGATTTCAAAATTTGAATTTCGATCGTAATCTGTATTTCTTAATTCCTAATAATTACTGAAAATAATTATTGATTTTTTTTTATTTTGAGCGGTGGTGGGGGCTCTCCACTAAAGATGCTAGCATGTTAGCGCTGAAACTAAATGGACCAAGCGAACAAGACCCGTAATATGTAACCCTAAAGACTTGATACATCATTGAGTACGCTATTGAAAAGATTTTGGCAGTTGAAAAAAAAAATGGCCTGTATTATGTGGTGTATTTATACTTTGTGATTTCATTTCTTTTCTCAGTGACCACACTTCAACACTGAACGATTAAATTATCAAAGTATTACCTTGCTTCAGCAAAACTCTAATCTAATATTATTCTGATTTTATGTAAATATAACTTTCGGAGGAGTAAAATTAAATATGTTTTGAGAACAAAATCCTAAAACTGAGATGAAAAATATGCGCTATATCAATACAATGAAGTTGATTAAAAAGACTTCGTTTGTTTCATCATTTCAACGTCATTTTTATCTCGATTTTAATTTCAATATTTTTAACACCATGACAATTCGGTACCAAACATTTTTTGGTAGATTCTGTATGTTCAAATATCTCGACGCTGTTCTACTATTACTCTATTGATTAGCGCATTCACTTTATCTTTATGGTGGGAACCTCGTTTAAAAATTAGGACGCATGATCGAAAAATACACATTTGTTGTAAAATTTGTCAAAATCCATCGACTGTTAAGGTGTTGTTCAAATTTGAGATGAAATAAATTCCAAACTAAGAATGCGAGAAAAACACATTTACGTGTGAGGCTATATGTAATTGTCGTATTGACGTATTTGAATCAAGAAATCAATATTTTATTATTTGTAAGAATAATGTATTCTTATTTTGGATAAAAATATCATGAAATTAAACTCACGTACAGATTATTTTTAATATTAAAAACTTCTAACAGGAATTTTCATATTGTTAAACCCTTTGACTGCCAAAACAAAATTGTGGAGATCGAGGCTGGGGAAAGGGTGGTGTACGCTATATTAATTATAAAATAGATAACGCCTTATATTGTCAAGGTGTAAACGAGTTCATTTTTCTTACACAGCACAGTACAAAATAAAAACCTGTTTTAATTCTGAATAACTAAATGTAGAGACAGAGTACAAAATTAGTTTGTAACAATATTAAGGGCCGACAATTCTCTTTAAAAATTCATGAATTAAAACCCAAACGCCACTTTAGCAGCAATAATGGTGTTTGTGGTTGACGGACCCGCGTAAATCCTCAATAAATAACAATTGTCTTCTCTGTTTCTGTATGCTACATCAATTCCCTTGTGAAAAACGTGGAATTGTTAACGAATGCACTGCGTGAACGATTAAACGGCGAACGGAAAATCTAAATATAGAAGTCTATTCAGATTGATTTGGTTTCACTAAACTTTGGCATTTGGGCAACGTGAGTTTCAATCGTAAATGCAAGCTTAATCACCTAATATATTTGTTTCATTTTCGCCCGATAATCGGGAAAAGCAGCATTGATTCCGAGTAATGTACATAAATATCAAACGTTTAGGTCCATCATTGTTCGTATACTTGGGTATGATCTCGTTCCGAATTTACATGAAAATCCACTACGTTTACGATATTGCGTTCAAAACAAATGAATCGATAATACTGAAGTGCTATATTTAAATGAATGGACTAGAAAATTACCCAGTCAGAGCAGTACAAACCAACATCTAGACTTTTCCAACCATCAATATTCCGTTTGCGATTGCATAAATTATGTTATGACCGCGTTCATACACTATCTCCTAACAGTCTTTGTTTTAGGTAACGTTCGGTTGGCGGTCATTCAATACCAAGATATTTTCATAGTTGATTGTTAATATTTGAACTATACATTCCACCATTTTTGATTGCCACATCTGGCTACTGCCATTTGTTGATGGGCATTGCATTAATACATTGAAGGTTAGAAATCTTATCGTCTCATAACGCCGACAACGGACACACGTTACTCCGACACTCCCGGGAGACAACGGGAGTCTTGTTGCTCGATAATACCCTTAGCTTTTAACTTAAATCGGAGCTTTATAATATCTGATTTTAGTATATTGCAATCAATTTATTAAATCAATTTTATCCGTTATGAAAAGTCCATTATGTAAATCAATTACACCACTAGATATATCCAGTTAACTTCAATTATAATATTGCTCTGAGAAAGTCTTCACTAAAGCAATATAAAATGCTTTAGATCAGTTGTCCGATTTGAAAAACTAATACGACATTCAATCAAGAGATCTAATCGAAATTCTAATGCATAAAAACACCAAAACTCAGTTAAATTTACACTCTTCATTGCTTTGCGCATCCATTCTACAACGTTGCCTGAAATACTCTATGTTTATAGTTCTATATGTAAAAGTATGTATGCAGATTCTTTCAGGTGGTATTTGCATAATCACAACTTTAAACTGACAAATAAACGTTATATATTTATTTACTACTCATTTTATGCAGATCGTTTCCGCATCCTTGCTTTTCAAGTCATTTTGTAAAAATTTGATTAAACATTCAATTTTTTATTTAACATATTTACCCGTCTAATTTGAGCAAGCTTAAATTAGCTAGTGCTCTCGTTTTGTCACTGCTAGTTTATTTTTTTTATTCGGGTCACAAATTGATTTACGATTATTTGCATCTGAGGCTGAATTTATTACCAGAATATTCACAACCCTGATAACAAAAAAAAAACAAAAATTGAAGCTAGAGAAGCTCTTAACATAAGTATCTGCATCATCTTCAAGAATTGGCGATTGATATTAATCTGCAAGTGCCTGCCATCAGATGTAGTCGTGGCAAATGCACTCAACACTAGAATAAAATACTCGTATTTTCTTTGAAGGGGGGATTTGAACAAAGATGGCGAAGGTGACTGCGATAAAGACCCGGAACCTGTCTGCGTCATTGGTATCAATTCGTTTACGTCCGCCTTTTTGTTTTCCATCGAAACGCAGGTAAGTCGTAAGTAACTGCGAATGAACGTCAATAACTACTGATAACGAGGTTAAAATGCATACGATATTTGCTGTCAAATAATTCAACTCATTTTCAGATATACGAGTGTCCGTCATAATATAGTATCTGATAAAATATTGAAAAAATATTTGGTTGTTTCTAAAGATATGCAGAGGTACCAAAAATACTTTCGCGATCGGTATTCGATTCCCTTATACTTTTTTGTGACGGATTATATCAAGTCCTGTAGTTCATGTCTTGTGCAATCTCAATTATTTTACTGTTCCTATTTGCTAATGCATTTTCTAATTTACTTTTCTTCGTGGTTTTCTTGTTGCCTGGATTAATAAATGAATATCATAAATCACTACTGTATCTTTAGGTAACCATTGGTTACGGAACAAGAGCAATAACGGATCATTGTCCTGAAGCTATTGTACTATTACTCATTCAAAGTCTTCTAGGATCAATAGTAGATGCTTTTATGGTAAGCGGAAGGATATATATGTTTATTGGACACGAAATGTACAAATGAATTGTTTTTATGTAGTTATTGTTCTTGCTGGTATATTTCTCTTACCGTTATGAAAAAATCGGGGTTTTCAGTGGCTGAAGATGGCATTTTTCGCTAGAAGGCCATTATTGGACACGTAGTGGACATAACGATCGTTTCAATATTATGTTGTTGTTGTTGTTGTTCTTGTTCTTTGACACGTTTTTAAAAAGTCGCTTTTCTCCTCGAATACTGGACCAATTGCTTTGAAGTTTTCAGTGGTTAAAGATAAAATTTTTCTCCAGAAGGCTATCACTTTTTTTTTCGCTATGACGTCATCAAAATTATTGCCATTGGGTGGCGCTACGTGTCCATATATTTGAGCATAGCTCTCTTGTTCAAAGATGTTGTTGGCTCTATGAGACTCGTTTTTTGTGTTCGATGACGTCATCAAGAACTGCGCGCACCTTGTGGCGGTTCCGCTTTCGCGTTAGTCGTCAATAGTGTCGTGCCAGTAGTATACTGTGACAGATTGCATGCCGGTACCTGCACTACTTCGTTTTGACTTTCGTGTCCATATATTTAAGCATTGCTTCCATGTTGTTATGATTCAGTTCATATTTTCATAGTTTCAGTTTAAAGTATACTACTTCTATAATGTATACAATACTTATTCGATTTCTACAATGCGGCAACATCGCCAGTGCGTTGTAAGCTGCAATTACCGCGTCATCGGGAATTGCTGACCGATGAGGGGAAACCCATTGTAATCGTTCATTTGGAATGCCAAAGTGTGCCATGTTACAATAATAGAATTCCGGTAATGCCCATAGGAATATGCCGGCAGTTCATTATCCGAATCTAGTTAATAGTAAGATAAAAGCTATATTTTGTGGTCGTATGTATATTATGTGGTCGAGGCTTTTTGTCGGAATGCTATAATATGTTTATTGTCCCACTCAGCCCATAAAAACGGCCATCGCAGGCTTGAGATACCGGGGTTAAAGTTCGAATCGCAATCAATTTGTCCCCAAAACAATGAGGTCAAAATAGATAAGTTAAGCCGCAGAAGGGGGATTCTGGCACTTTTACATACCTACATTCATCATTATCGTAAATGTGTAAAGATGACAAACGATCAAAACTTTTCGTTTTTCACAGGTTGGATGTATGTTCGTCAAGATATCGCAACCAAAGAAGCGAGCAGAGACAATCATGTTTAGCAAGAGAGCAGTTATATCTCCAAGAAACGGACAAATGTGCCTTATGTTCAGGTAGCTAATTAAAGACGATGATAACAACGATAATATATTCTTCTTTTTCAAGTAATTGTGGAAATTGTGACAGTAATCACAATTATAGACTATAGGATAGTTTGTTTGTGTTGTAATGCAGATTTCTGAAGTAGTTTTATCCAGTTCGTTTGAGAATTACATCTAACATGAAAATTATGTTCCCAGTATGGTCTGTATGAATAATAATAACAACATCTAGATGAGTTTCTAGCGTCTCTACTCATGCGCAAGGACAACCGCCGAAGTGGGTGGTAATGTGACTTATATGGTAAATTTGTTTAAACTTTTTCTATTTTCAATTTGATTGTTAAGTTAGTCGTTTTCATCATTTTGTAGCATACCCATCTTTCCTTTGTTTCGGAATTCACGTTCCCGTGTATGCAATCTTAAATAAGTCAGGGATATGTTAACCTATCATTGAGATATTTTATCTAACTGTCAGACATTTGAACCCTCTCTTCAAGTTTATTGAATAATTCTCAATTTAGGGTGGGAGATTTGAGAAACTCACATATTGTCGAAGCTCAAATTCGTGCGAAATTGATCAAAAGTCGACAAACACAAGAGGGAGAATTTATGGCGCTTGATCAAACAGATTTAAATGTTGGATTTGACACAGGAGCTGACAGACTTTTCCTTGTGAGTATATAACATGGAAATAAGAAGCCTTAATTTCTGAGAAATTACTAACTTCTCATGAAAATTTACTTTGCCCTTTACTCCAAATCAAAGTGATCTAATCTCCTGGGCATTGTAATCTTCCATATAAAAAAAAAAGTATTGCTTTGACATGTTTGAACTGGACCAATTACATAGATATTATTCATCTCATCACGTTACAAACTATAAACCGGGACTTATCGTTTTTCTTACAGTCCTTCCTTCTAATTCAGGTTACACCTCTGATTATCTGCCACACAATTGATGAAAAATCCCCTTTCTGGGAAATGTCAGCAGATGATTTGAAACGAGAAGAATTTGAAGTGGTCGTAATTTTAGAAGGCATGGTGGAGGCCACAGGTAATTAAGTCTCTTCAATATTGTATAGTTAATGAAATGCATACAACAATAAAGGCGATATGCAACGGGATTATCACAACGAAATCTCTATGTTAAATTTTCAGCTTTTTTTACAAGATATTCCACTTAGATATTTCTCTTTTTGTGTTAAACTAAGGGGATATTTATTGACAATACATAATATATAAATGTAACTTTGCGATTTAATCGTCGTCTGTAATTTTTCTTCAAGTATCTCCAGCTTTACTTTATAGACACTATAAAAATGCCCCGTTGCCAGCTTTTATATGATTTTTATTGGACTTTTATCTGTCTGGAAATTGTGTCAAAAGTGTAATTCTGAGCAAAATTTCATGTTCAGAATAATAATATATAACATGTTTATTAAAAACGTATTACATTTTGATGTTCAAACTTGTACGCTTTACACTTGACCAACAGGCCGATTCACGCATAGTATATAAACTACTAAGATATAAAAAGCCTATTCAAAAATTACACATTGAAAGACGAGTTGTAAAGTAATAGTTACTTACAGATTTTTATAATTAAGAATCAAATGTTTGACTGGCGGAGATATACAAAATGACCTATTGGTCTTCTAAATTAATTCGTTGGTACATTGCCAATAAATTTTACTGTGGAAAAATGCAGTCTCTTTGACAAGATGTCAGTCAATATCAATCCCCGTTGCTTTAGCCAAGTCGTAGGTATGCGGAACATTCATAAATATTTAATACCGATCGTTATTTATTTGAAATAAAAGGGCAAATTCAGTCATAAACCCCGATATGAAATTGCAAGACATGCTAGAAATGATTTTTATTACTCAAATTATCTTTGTCTTGTAAATTTACATTAGTTGTATAAATTAGTTGCTTGTAAAGATATGCAAGCGATAAAAATACAGTATTAGGAAATCGTGGAATTAGTTTTAGTGAATATATGCAAGATTCTTCTCTTCTATTGGATAACAGCATATCTACACCTGTTATTATTTGAAGAATAACAATAGTATCTGTATTTGAGTCTTATCTGTAAGACCAACATTTATTTGGAATATTCAGTATTCATATGAAAGATTGGTTTAATTGTACTAGCATAAGCAAATCATATAAACCCGAAAGCAGTTGCAACTGTAAATGGTTAATTCACCACATTATTTTATCTACTGTTCTATTTGCTAATTCTGACACTAAAGCTATGCATTTTTAAAATTTAATGAGACATGAAATTTTGAATAATGTACCCATGCTATTTATGATAGTCATCTCTATTTGAACGAATGTAAACATCCCTAATACTGACTATAATTAGTATTATGCTTTTGAATTGCGATCATTGCACTTGCAGTTTTTTTGGACTTTGGTTTCAAACGAGACTTTGACAAAGAGCCAATCAAGCATACAAAACGAAGGAGTTTAATGAGATCGGTATTAAATTATTGGAAATGAAATGACCCAAAGACTTGTTCCGAACTAAGCCGTAAAGCACATTTAGAACAATGTTAGACGCAAACTGATTTTACTTTTCCCTTTACAAGAAAACACTTCGTTCTTCCTAGTTTCATTGCTAGACAAGGTTATTTCACGGGGCGTTTTCAATTTGTTGAACATGAATTGTTTGAACATAATGGGATTTGGAATCTACCAGTCAAAATAGTTATTACTATAAATACCACTTGAATAATAGACAGGGGGCCATGAGTGCCAAAAGGCCTCCGAAAGGGGGCCATGAGCAAGAAAAGTTGGAACCACTGGTATAAATAGTGATGCATCAGCACAGTAGGTATACAGGGCGTCCACAAAGTATCTTCAAAATTTAAACAAATTATTACAAAGTCAGGTGGTAATATTTTGAATTGTAGAGAGACTTTATGAACAACCTGGATTTCAAAATTATCTTCAGAGTAGAGGCAACATTTCGAGGTGAATAAGACAACAATCTCGAACTAAAAATAAAAAAAACCGCAGCTATAAAATTTCAAGTCTTACATTTAATTTTTCGGTTATCAAATGACTGACTATATTGCTCATCAAATATCGATTTTTACGCGATGTTACTGCATGATATGCAGTAGAGATGACGCTAATGCTTCGTAATTGTGTAACCTCACTCAGTGTGAAGATTTTCACAAATATTTTTTTGAAAATACCTCACCGAACTGTCCGACCGACAAATAAATATTAGAAAATATATTACATAATAAAAACAGTTATCGCCGAGACTCTAATTAATGTATTAGAGTCTAATACAAAGATGGGCAGTAAAATAAATAGGCTCAGAGATTTCCCTGCACCCCCCTGTATTTGAATATCCAGAAAGTGGCGTATATAGATTTGCAGGTGGTCTGTCAAATACACAAAACATTTTTATAAGTTACTAATAGTTTTTTTCGCTAATAGCAAAATATCTATCACTCCTTACATATTGAAACACCCCCGATTCGGAAAAAATATTTTAAACATTTGACACATATCCCAATTGTAAGGTTTTGGACTCTAAATGAAACATAACTCGTAAAAAACAAACGACACAAGGATCATGAATGATCAGAATGAATAATATGGCATTTTTATGTTTTCACAAATGCTTGCAAATTATTCCTTTTTTTGACATTCAAAATTAATCATCCCTCGAAAGTTTATAAGGATTTACCGATATCGTGTCAAACTGTGTTAATGTGTAAAACTTGTAATGTAAGAGCTGGTAGCAAATATGTGGAAGCCACAAAACATCTTTAAAATACAACCAATTTTTGTGTTTGTGGAAGCCTTCATTCGGATACCTTTTCAGTGATATTTTAAAACCGTTTACCGATTCTGGTTAGCAAGCAAATAAAATTGATAATTTCACTCAAACAATATTCATAGCACATATAAGTAGAAAGTTTAGCAGGTGGATGTGTTCACAATAAAAAAAAGAAAAGTACTGATTAAGTTTGAATTTTGTTTGCAATTCCAAATATTCAGCATTCAAATTTCTGTACCAGTTGCGAATTTAACGACTTCATTAGTTGGAATATGAGCTTTTGATGCGGGTGTATCCACTATGTTTTTGTAACAGTGGCCATGAATGCAAATTTTGCCATATCCGCACAAAATTTCCTTCTTATATTTTCTAAAATCTTACCAGAAAACATATATCGAGCTGAAACTGATGGTATCATATCTCTTATATATGTCAGTTCAATAATCAAAAACCAAACTTGGTACTTCAGAAATCTTAATTCATTCTACAGTGTATGAATTCGTTCAGTGATTTAAACACTTCATACGTAGCCTCAATTTGATTCAATTTTATTACCACACGTCTGTTCATTAATTGCATTATTTATCATTCAATTACATTTTAAACATTTTATTATAAGGAATGACATGTCAAGCGAGAAGTTCGTACGTAGAAGACGAAGTACTCTGGGGACAACGATTCATGCAAGTCTTGATGATGGAAAAGGGATATTATGAGGTGAGAATGATGTATATATATCGAATATAGTCGGAAAACAACACGTTAAATTAACAGGACTACTGAAGTTCTTCAGAACGAGTTGGAAGTATTATTGTCGAGTACTTTATAGCTGGAAAAACCTCATGTATAATACAGATATTATTAAAATATTATTATTGAACATTTACAACACATTGTGTGTTTTTTTTTAATGAGGTTTTGAATTTAATGTTCAACAAAACACTTGGAAATTCTTTCTACGACGCCTATTTACGCGTTTCGTTCCGAACTAGGCCCTATACAAGCAGCTACTAATATCTAACGATATGCACTATTTTTGAAGAAAAAGAATATTTCCAGTTCGGTATTGCTACACAATTGATTGCACCCTGGGTCAGGTGTAGGAATAAAAATTGAACCTGAAATGTCAATCTTCGATGCAAATGAAGTTAGGCCACGTTTACATACAATTTCGGTATGATCGTCGCAATTAATCGGTCCCGACTGTTTAAGCTCTCTTTTCACACAACACATTTGGGATGTTCTCAGGGATGTCTAAAACTAATCGAGTACAATCGAAATTCATTTTATTCGATATCATAATTTTTTTTAATTCTGAAATAATTTAGAACATTTTTATTCAAGAATGAAGAACTTTTAAGCCACCTGGCCCAGCAGATCAAAACATACAATATCTCAACTAGTAGCAAACAACATAACGAAACCAATGACCTTTATTTTTGTGTCGTTTGAAATGTGATCAACATGAAGATATAGTGATTTATGTAAATTTTCCACATGAACTTGCCCCCAATTTACAATGTATTCGAAATTCCATATTCGGAAATATTTTTCCAGAATATATTCGGAATAGTAAAATATTCGATTTTGATCATCAATATATCATGTTCTTTATCTAAAGTCACTGCCCTGTATTAGCTAATTCGGTGCAAAAAGTGATTTTGCTGCTGGAGCTTTCATTCCGACAAGACAGTCATGTCTATCATTATTCAAATTCTTGGCCGACCTTTTAAAATTGTGCGAATGAGTTGGCGTCAGGTTTGTAAATAAAATTAAAATGTGTTATACAGAATGATTGACATATTTTACTTGCAATGCAAGCTGTGAACACCATAGATTTCAAAATACATTGAATTCAACATGTACTTCTTACAATGGTAATTACATTTTTAATTTTCAGGTAAATTACGCAAATTTTCACGATACATTTGAAGTTGACTCCTCAACAGCTAGTGCGAAAGAACAAGTCGAAGAACGAGAAAAAGTAAGTTTGGCATTTATTTCCATTCCCACTAAACAGTTTATTTTCGATAATAAAACTACCATTTGTTATAATATTTGTCTTTGATTTTTTCAAATTCATGATGATTAGCGGTTGAAAAAAATTGTTTTCTGCGAATCGACTAATTCTTTATATTCATATTCAGTTCCGACATCCGACAATATGTTCAACCCATCTTTTTTTTTATTCGTCATACAAACCAATAAATTCCATTTATTTCTGTTTCAGCAACGCCAAAGAGAGAATTCTTCCGGATCACTTCATATGCGCAAAACACTGCCTAGGTCACCAAGAGTTCAAGAGAACGCGAGTTTAAGGTGGCTTTTAATCCCTATAATATATAGTAAATTATAATACGCATGCATAGTGTGAGGAGGCTTGCACTATCAACTGAGTGTATTAGTCACAAAACTTACTTTTCGTTGACTCAGATGGATCACGCGCTTTCAGTTCAAAGGGAGTTTAATAGGAGAGCGACTCGCGAGCGACGTACTGACGCGTTAATATCTATATGCATATATATATTATAGGTTAATTAACCCTACGATACATAAATACTTGGCCTAGAATTATTAAATAGAAAACAATTTACGGTTTCAACATCTTCACACATCGTTATTATTATTTAGACAATTTATTCTAAATTTAGTCTGCAATTGTTCATACCTAATGCCATAATCGGGTTAACTTTTCAATTTATGAGATAAATAAAATTCAATTGGGTTATTGGTGGCAAAAGATCGATTTCAACGTGAAATTAAAACACATTGAATAATTCTAATCGAATATTTTATTGATTTCTTCAAATTCATTTTGACTGTGTAGAAAACTGATGGTATATGCGAATTATATTTGTTGCAAATGGGAAATTTTAAAACTACTTTGTGTAAAACAGATAACATTTGCTCCAAGTCAACATCTACACAGAAGAATAAAGTTACGCATATTAAAATAGCCAATATTCTAAAACAGTGGTTCCCAACCCTTTTTTCCTAGCCTAACTTTTGTAATATCTCGCGACCCAAGGATATGCTCAAATAATAAAAGACATGCGATACTTTTTGACACTAAAATTAAATGACTAATAAAAACATTCATTTTTATATAACCTTCATTTCCTACACTGTCTTAGATCAGTGTTTCCCAACCTTTTTTCCAAGCGACAAGATTTTTCAAAAAATTAAATTTTGATGTGTCTCGCTACCCAAGAATATGCTCAAATACTAAACGCCAAATATGACCCCAAAATTAGATTACCGGTACAGATGCCTGATGCGAAACAAGCATTTTCACAAAGCATTTGTGTAAGTGACAGAGGTACGCTGATTTGCCATCAACAGACTCTGGCATGGTTTTGAACAAAATGAGATGTTTCCAAGTTTTTATGCTGCGATACTTCATATATACAATTACTTTAATACCAAATAGAAACTAAACATCAAAATTTACTAGAAAAAAAAAACGTTTTAAATATTTGTTAAAAAACAAGCGACCCAAGAAGATTTTCAGGTGACCCAGTTTTGGGTCACGAGTCACGACCCATAGGTTGGAAAACACTGTCCTAGACGTATAGCCTGCAACACACATTGACCACATCTTGTGTGGAGTGCTAAGAAATTTAGAACCGCTGTAATGGTCAGGGCTCAAATCTTAAAAACCATACATCACAGAAAGTATTCATAACTTCATAAGTCTAACATACTTTTCATATTGCACAGCTCTTGTTTTCCAACACCCACAGTACGACGAAAATTTACATCAGCTGCCGGCAACAACTATTACCCTAAAGATATGCAGGGTATAGAAGAGGACACAACAAAAGAACAGCACGAGAGCGAAATAATCAATGCCAATAACAATAGTAATTCCTTACAAGATGTTCCATCAATGCAAGGCGCACCATTCAGCAAACCTGATATTCATTCATGCGCAAGTGAAACTGACGTATCTAGACTTGAAAATGAACATGACATACTTTGGGAAACGAAAGACACAGGTAGTGAAAAATATTTCAGAAAATCAATAGCTTCTTTGTTGGGGGAAGGTGCTGCTAGATCAAGCAGAACAAACTTACAATTTCCAAATGCTGGTTTGGGCCGCCAACATGCCAGGCGACACACAACGGCATCTACTTCCATGCCTTCTTTTCATGATCGTTTCAGAGTTGAAAACGGAGAAAATCCATTCAGCGCCTACCTCGAATCAGCTCCTGACCAAACCAGTGCAGATATTGTCTGACAGCCATCTATCTGGTCGTCGAATACATAAAAAGAGCAGATCGTAATTGCGATAACATCGTTGGCAAACTGGTATCGTCCGTCCCTCCTGCACAAGATCGAAGTGACATGCCAAGATGAGTACGATGATAGCGTTCGTTGGAAGACGAGTGGTGTGAAAACCATGACACGCCCAGGGACATTATTGCGTATGCGATGAATCGACAAACAGAAGGTTTTTTTTAGCAAAAAGAGGTTGAAAGCATTTGTCAGCATTCCACCCCGAAATGAAATTAATTTTGAGTATAGGATGGTGTGGATTTCAGCATAACGCTTTAATTATATATCATATCATTTTTTTGTAACATTTTAACACATATGGAAGAACTTTGCACACAATGTCATTCGTGATCAGTTTGAGTGGTTGGAAACATATACCCTATTGTTATGCTCTATTAGCACTAACTAGCCGCTTTGTTAGTTCTAACTCCACACTGGTTCTTGGTTATCAAATTTACAATTCATTTAGTCATTTATCTCAAAATAGAAGACAGCATTTGGAATAATTGTATATACATGTATCTGTCGAAGGCATGATTCAAATGCATAAATTGGAACAACGTCATTATTTACTAGAGATTTTTTCGTTCGTTGCGACCATTAGTTCTATACTAGTGGAGTTTCTTCCATTTTTGTTTTGTACGGACCTGTAGTCTGACCAATTCTGCTTCCATCTTAGACAAGGATAGATTTTAGGCGTTGATATTTTGTTTCCCCGTCCATTTAAATAAAAGAAAGTGTACACTGTACAGGACGTTTTGCCAAAACGTTTTAGTCCGATTTTGTCTATCCAGTTTATCACATCCTGGATGTGTTGCATGGGTCCATAGTACTGAATTGGTCTAGATAGATTAACTAAATTTATTTTCATTCTTCCATCCCGTGTTATCAATTTAAAATGTATTAACCGTTTCAATTAATTCATTATGTCTTAGACTTAGAAGGTGAAATGCATGTACTGTACTCCTAAAACTTCATGCAGGTAAATTCCCTAGAAAATATACCCATCGTGGTTAAAGTTGAATATAGTGTTTTCTAGGAAATTTCGAATCGTTCCTCATGATGTTTTATTGGGAATTATACTGATCTACATTATTTAAGTTATCCAATAGGACAGATAAATTTTTACACGGTATTTACTTTCTGCCTGTGTAGACGTTATGAAAAAGGCACATGATATTGAACGTATTTATTTTTCGCTTAGTTTAAATAATAATAGAATATGAAAAAACTGTTAATCATGACTCACACACTTCTTATGCATTCTAAAAGGCAAAAAATATAAATGAGCATATATCTAACTTGAACTTTCGACACCGGAAATATTTCTATATAATTACTGGAATTTTTGATTTACTTCCTAAAAATTATGCAATAATACAGTGGGTATTTCCTAGTTTAACCAAGACGGCCAAATATCAGCAAAGATGTTTTACAAAATCGTACGTTACATCAATTATAAGGGATTGACTGCGTTTAATAACCGTGCTTTAGTTAATCCCATACACAACTTATATCAAAATCTTATTCCGAATCTATACATTCTTTGTAGGGGCTTCACGGCACGGAGCATGTACTTTTGTTGTCTTCAACATTCGCTTCAATGTTTTGATTTTCCTTTGTATCCTCAACTTTATTGATATATATTCTTATTATTTCAATTTTGTTTGATTAATTTTTTATTATTATCATTGATGTTATCACGATTATTATTAAAAATATTACATTAATTAACAAAAATTTAGATTTTCTGTAATTATAAATGTGATTTTTTTTCAATTTTGAACGATGATTCTTCCATTTTTGACATTATTCGCTCTATTTGCAAGAAGAGAATAGGAAGCATGAGAAACAATTATGTAGAGTTCAGCAATAATAGATTTCCTGTTTGAAGCGAAGATTTCTCAATCCAGTTGTAGTTATAGCTGTCCTGAAGAGTATTGGACAGAGAGCACATTACAATAGCAATGCAGGTCCAAATATGAAAAATCTTCAGTTGAATGTTGAAATGGAAATGATTTCAAGTAATTGGGCTTAATTTGTCAGACAATTTGTTCCAGTTTAATGGGGAATTTACAGCTCTAAACAAATCATATATATATATATGGAAAAGACAAATGATTGCCTATATACAGTACCAAATGTTGACATAGAACCAAATTGTGTACCAAAAATCTGTTGATATTAAAGTCATAATCAATAACGAAATAATCATATGTTAGGATTTGTTCAGTTCACGAAGAGGAGTATTCAACGTGAAAACCCGGTGAGAAACAATGGTATGTACAATGTGTTTACATTACTCAGTTTAGATCACTTCATCTTGTATTATATTGCTTACACATGCCTGTCATTGCTATAGCTCAGGTACGTAAAACAATTAAGGAAGCAACAGACGCACAGGGAATGAATTTCGGTCAATATTGATCATTTGCTATTATTACAATAGTAAGCAAGGCCAATTTTAGGAAAAAAACAGAATTCACGAGGAGGTTCTAACCTAATATTCAAATACGAAGTGAAAGAAGTTTCTAAAGGTAGCAAAGATGATGACATATGCAGGATGGCCCTCCAAAACAGAACCCAGTTTTTGGAACATATTCCACAGATTCTTCACATGATTCTTGTGCAAAGCGTCAAAATCATCAGTCATCAAAATTTTCGTTAGTCACACACACGTCTGTTTATGTTAGAATCGACTGAGCTAAGAGTGACCAATGGAGTGAACGCATACACATCAACTTAAAACTAAGTTTCCGTTAGTGTTTTTTTCTCGTCAGCACATTGTAATTTAACTAAAGTTTGAAATGATTGGAATCTTCCCCATTTTAAATATACACTAATCACGCCAGCGCTAGGTGAGATGGTAACGGAAGGTTGGTTGCCTGCTTTACCAGAGTAGTATCCTAGAATAGAGACCGGTAGGTAACCTCTCAAATCGCTATAATTAGTTTATTGTTGCGCTTCGTATATTGGATGCATAAATTTCAGTCTGATGTGAAGCAGAAACACGCAATTTGACAAACACATCAAATCATCGCCATCAAAACCACGCACCAATCGAAACTGAGGTATATGGCTTTTGAACTTTATGGACTTATATGGAACTGACGTTATAATTTATTTATGGCAACCGTGGGCGATGAAAGCAAAGGTATAGGCTAGCTTATGTACTCGTACGGTCTAGATATTTTGAATGAGCTGCGCATCACTGCAAACGACATTAGTAATAAGTTATATAAAACCATTTCCTTACGTAAAAGTAACAGGAAGAGACGTACTGCAAACAGGTTTGTCATAATAAAAATTTGAAAAGTAAATTGTATTGACTAAAAATAAATTTCAGGAACAATTTATATAATTGTAAATAGTGATTTATTAGGCTGTAACTCACGTTATATTGCTTGATAGAGTTTCTTGGTTTGTTATTGAGAATCAATTATGTCTCGCTCGCTACGTCAAGTAGACCCAGAAGACGGCGTTGCATTCAAATACTACCGTAAAAAAGTGAACTTTACAACGGCAAATGAAGACTGTAAAATTTTGGGATCACATTTAGCTATCATAACAGACGAAAATTCATTTAAAGAAGTTGAAACTAACGTTAGCTCGCATGTAGAAGAGTCCTACTGGTGGCTAGGACTACAGCGTAGAGCAGACGGTTGGAAATGGCTGAACGATGAAGAGTTGCAGTCCAACGTACTTGACTTCACCGGCGACACAGGAATGACAAATTGTGCTTCGCTGTTTAAGCCAGCCAGGAGTAAAAAAGTTTATCTATATGACTATAGCTGTAATGACCAAAATATGTATTTTATCTGCCAAACTGACAACTCAGTTTCCGGGTCAAAGTCTTCAAATCATGGACCACTAAGTAGCGGTTCTATAGTTGCCATATTACTTGGCATTACAATATTGATTTCACTGTTGATTTACGTCATAATAAGGCGCTATAAAAGGCGTAGAAGTTTGAGAAATTCTCGGTGTCATTTAAATCAACAAAGGACGGAAGCAATTCACCTAAATCCAACCAATATTGCTAGTCAAAAACCTCGTCAAGAGGGCGATTATGCTACTATTAATGATGATCCTGGGTACGCAACAATTGATACCGTAATTTACACTGAAGTTGTTGACGAAAACTACTGTGATGAGGAACAAAACGGTTAGTTGTGAGACTAAAATGTTGATCACATGGGTTTAATTCGGGCCATTTAACAAAAAGCTCTTTGACTATTTATGTACGTAATTTTCTCATAGATTACTGTAAGCAAGTAATTGAAGTAAGTAATTTTGTTGAATAGATAGACTACCAAACTAGATTGGTTTGGTCTAAGTACTTAAAAAAAGTGGATGAACTTTTATCAAAATTGGAATTGTATCTGTTGCTAATGTCATTACTCCTCGCGATCCATGTTACATTCCCTTCATACACCGCGCATCTGTTGCACGGCCTGAATATATTCGAGTCATAAACCAAACAAAACTAACTCTCTATTACAGGCGTTGATCAATCAGAAATTCAAGCAACCTATGCAAAGGTGAACAAAGAACGAAAATCATCTAATAATACAAAATCAGATACAGATCTCAAGACAAAAAATGAAGAGTCGCCTAAAAATATTTCAGAACAGTATGCAAAAGTCACGAAGAGACATTGAAATTTTTATACAGATATTTATGAGGGTGACCGTACATTTGAACACACGTACATTTGAACCCATGTGTATATCCGCGGGTTTAATCTATATGCGGGTGCTAAAACCCATGGGTTAGGGTTAGTATGGATTCAAATATCCGTAAAACCAAAAAATTTTCTTAGGTTGTCGTGGGTTCAAATGTACATTGGTTCAAATGGAATGGAACCATTTATGAGCATATATATGTATGCTTTTAAAAATTGTTACGTTGTTAAGCTATTGTTTAGTACAGCTGTTTCCAATCTTTCCAGACCTCCTGAAGTATGCGCACCAAGATGGCGCACAACCTGAACTCAAGTTGTGTACCAGGTTAAGGTTCAGATTGTGTGACATCTTGGTGCGCAGACTTCGGGAGTACCAACATTTTTAATATACAAGTGGTCTCCTTATAGAAAAGATTTTTCTCATTAGACCAATCAAAGTCATACCTGATGGCAAACACACATTTTTACATTCATTCAAAAACCCATCTCCGCCATCTGGTCAACAAATTGAAAGAAACTTGAGAACTTGTTGACTTGTTCAGAGTAAAGCACTGTTCTCGCAGTCGACTATCCAGGTGGTGGCGCACCTCGACAATAGCCTTGTTTTATTTTTGACATGGGGCGTGCAGTTGGCAATCCATCCTATAACAACGGAAAATTTGACTTTCTCAAATACGCTTGTCGTAACTATGATGTGACAATGATTCACTTGAAATACAGTTTATTGAATGTCAGGTTTACTGAAGAAATGGCTACCAAAACCTTTACGAGAATATAATCTAGATCCTAGACAAATCATTCCCTGTGAAAAGTTGGTAATCTTTTAGATAAATCTTGCTTGTTTTTACATTGGTATTTTTCCTAGGACTGCAATATTGTACTTTTATGTTATGTTGTACTTGTGTTTTATATATATAATATAAATGTTAATGGCCATTCAGTTCTGAAATTATATAATTAGATGAAAGTACATCATATAACTGAAATTCACCGCATTCCGCTAGATGGCGAAGAGACGTGCAGTCGTGTCTCACACACGTTGTTGATTATTAATTACTTGACCTTCCTGATGCTTCAACAACCCATTTATCACCTACATGAAAATTGTTGAATGTCTCATTTCAAAGGCGTCCCACTTTACTTTATATATACTTACTTAAATTAAAGAAAGTATACGGGATTACTATTGCTTTACCTTCTAGCAAGTCGGTTTCACGGTCCGGGAATCGTCAAATATAGCGCATCCACCATCTTCCACCATGACTTCATAAAGCAAAAAAGTCTATGATGAAATCAGACTCCTAAAATTAAAGAAGTCTTTAATTTTAAATGACAATATGCATCGTTATTGTCTTTTAAGCCGAGATTCCAATTTGAAATGGTAACAAGTGCTGGATTGTGTATTTTCATGTATAGCATAATGGTGACTGGTATTGACAAAAATGAAGCACAAGCACTTCCAGTTATTACTCAGTAAGTGTCATCAATATTATGACAGGACATTACAAAGCGTGTGGAGTGCAAAACTAGATATCGATCGGAGACCGCCGACTTTTCGATCTTCCGCATGTTAAATTAGGGGATCCCCCAAAACAGAAACTGCGGATTCGATTCCTTTGCTCTGACTCAATAGCGACACCGCTTGTCCCATCACTAATTAATTAATAACTCTCTAATTATACGACATAATTCACCCAAAATCAATAGGCTTCTGGTCCGAGATATGATGAATGCACATGCAAAATTTGGACCAGTTTCAACCTCACTTTCGGTATCGCGTAACATACGAAAGTGTCTAATAGCCAAACAAACAGACAAATACCTATCAACATACTTACCGATCGAGATCGATAAGTAATAATTAACCGTTGGTAAAACCGTGCAGTAGTTATTCTGGGTAGATTGCATTGAATTTATTGTTACGTGACACTGTAGGTTGGACGACAATGCACTAACACCGGACTACGAAGTGATGTTGGTGATTTCAACTTCATCCATTAACTGAGACATTACCATCTTTTCAGTACGGTGCGCATCTACCGATATTGAGGTGTGGAAATTTGTATGTACGGATAAATTTCCAATTTACGTCATATCCTAGAATTGAATTCTTCTAAATCTGCTGACTATTAGTGGTTTGATGACTTATGAGTAGTAAAAAGTCCAGGATTGGACAATCAATGACAATCATCAGTTCATGAATAGTCAAATATGGGCCATAGATGAAACTCATATCGATATTTTTTCATCGATGCTTCGGCATTTCTCAGTTATTTTTTCATACCCATGCTTGACAAGTGCATTGCAGTGATGTATTTAAATTCATTGACTGGTTGGCGTCAGCAGCTTACCATTTTTTTTTTTCTGCAAGGTTCAGATGTGTGTGAAAACTATTTTACACGTTTGCGTTCAACATCGTTAGCAACGGCATATTAGGTCTGCTATGATTAATTCTAATTTCGTTAACAAAATGTGCGGAGAAGACATTCCAATTAATACAACCCGGTATAACGAAATTGTTTTCACTATTTTTGAACAAGCGTTAACACAACATCAAGCAGAAGAGAAATGCAGGTGTTTATCAGACCCAGAAAGTGATCTAGCAATAATTAAAACGGACGATGCATTCAAACATTTAGAAAAAGTATTGAAGACACTGAATTCGAATGTAAAATACTGGAGAATCGGTTTGAAACGAGAAAAGGATGAAGAAGCATTCGGATGGAATGATGGCGATGTTTTAACAAATCCACCAAACAACTTTGTCAATTACAATGAGGTTGGATGCGCCAGCATCTATGTAAGCAAAGACAGTGGGTTTTATATGTCTTTGAACTGCGAACAAGAGTACACCGAAATATCAGGATATATCTGTTCCACCATAAATTATACTTCTCCACAAGAGTCTCAGGACATAGCGACAACTACTTCTATACCACAAAACGTGATGACCAAATTTACGTTTGGAAATACAGTCCAAGACAATCTTACGAAAACGACGTCGGATATTGTTGACCAATCGACGAAGCTATCTGGACCAAACACATGGACGATCGTGCTGATTATATTGGGATGCATAATATTAATAGGTATAGCTGTCCTGATTTTCAAGAGAAGAAAACGTCCAAATGAAAGTGAGCAAATAATGTTAGATCACGTAGAAAGCAACCGCAACAGGAATACGACCCAACAAAGCATTCAACCAATAGGACAAGTTCCAGATGGAAGCGGAATTGCAGGTTACGCAACAATAGGAGAATTTCAAAGAACCCAACACGCCGCAATCTCCAACACCGGATATGAGCAAAGCCAAGGTACAAAAGTACAAGCAAATTTTTTAATGGTAGTTTGTAACTGACTCATTGTAATGTTACAGCATGAGATTCTAGTATTAAAATTAGATATCGATTGAGTACGCGAAATGTATTGAGGAAGACGCTTATCACACACGGTGAAACACATCACAATTGTTAATAATTTTGTGCAATTAAATGGTTTCTTTTTACAATATGAGCGTATCCCTCAATTAGATTCCAGGCTAAATTTTGTCTGGAGATGTCTATTTTGTTCTGCTCCTACTATTGTAAGCTCTAATTTATTTGAAAGTTTCCTAATATGAGTTTTTGTTCAGAAGTCAAGAAGAGCAAAATAAACATAAATTAAGTGGGTCCAGTTGTACCTGATTCAAATTGCATTGAAATGATCAGAAATATCAGATTTCATAGCATACATCTATGTTTACAAAAGTTCCAAGAAATTTAACTTAATCAAAAATACGACGAATTGTCTCGTATACCTTTCAGAAAAAGTGCCTCCCTAAACTATTCACTACTATTAGCTTGAACAATAGAATAAATGAGAAAAATTCAAATTTTTGTTAATGCACAAAATGCAATTTCCACGGTTCACTCTTCCTACTTCAGTATATTCAAATTTTAATATATTGTTTCAGATTCAATTCAATCACAGAACGATCGAGTCACGCCAGAAATCGAGACCACTTATGCAGTAGTCAACAAAAAGAAGTCGATTGAGCAAAAAGCAAGTTCATCACATCAGGAAGTAGATGTAACTTACGCTGTTGTACAGAAAAAAAAAGCATGATATTCTCCAATCTGGTTGTCATAATTTTCTATGTTACATATGCAACGAGGACTGTATAATTGAAAACACCTCAAATGCTTTGCTGATTATTGATACCTTTTGGCATATAGGTTTTAAGACACGAGAATCAGGCCTATATGCTATCAATGTATTTTGATTATGTTTTATTTCGAACAAATCCTGTAAAATTATTGCACTATTTTTTGTTTGAATTTATTCTATATCCGGTATCAGGTCATATATATATCTATAAGACACGTATTTCGGATAACAGTGACGCGGTGACATACAATAAAAATAAAATTGAAGTCATAATACGTAAACGTGAGGACTTAATATCATTTTTAAACCACAAAGACCCTATTTATATGCTATTGTTTACAGCAACCACACCAACCAACCATTCCCACTTCTTTCCACCCGAAATTTGTCTCCATTGACTCTATTTCAGTAGTTGGATATCATAGACAGATGCGGATAATATTGCAAAGTGTATGTAACGTTAAAGAGTGATACTTTTCGAGTTGCTATTTCAATTATTATTCAGAAGAAAATTAACCCTGCTTTCAATTTTCCTTCCTTTTATTTCAATTTTTTGATTATTTTCATAATATTTAATTGCTGAAATGAAATATTTAATCTTTAAACCACTGTACATTTTCTTATGGCAAGCATATTTGAAACCCCGTACCGTAAAAACTAAGCATCTTATCTTCCGAATAGAACTTCCGCATTTCAATTGATGCTGCGGTTTTAATTGATTCAGTATTATCATTTTCTTGATTTCTTGCAAAATAGTAATTTTAAAATAGTAATATTCGATTTGAGTGAATTGCATGTTATTGAATAAAATTTGTACAATATTCACTGCTTGTGGGGTTTTATTACTAGAGAGCATTAACATTAAAAGATACAACTGGTAATCCAAGTAACACCACTCAAAAGTTTAAAATCATATATGCTTGCGAAAGAGTTTGGTAGGATGATGGTACAACCTCGACATGGGCAAACCGCGGGCCAAATCCAGCCCGTTGGGTTATTCAATCTGGCCCGCCTGATGCTGGCATAAATTTATGTATTCAACCAATTGTGCATGTACTGCATAGTTGTTGTAAATTGAAATCTGGCTTGTTAAATTAAGATCGCGGTCTGCGTAAGTTGTATTTTAGGTTAATGTTTTTTATGTTTACTTTATATTTAGAAAAAAGATCTCAAAAAAATTTGTTGAGATTGCGATTAAATTTAGTTTTGGCACAAGGCCCATTGTTTTCCATTTTTGCTTTTGTAACACTGTAAATAAAATTCTGTACATAAAATTTAGTTTTTTTGTCACACTTACATGGCCTGTCAGTCTAGGTGGGCAAAATGTTTGGCCACTGGCCCAAAAACCTTGCCCACCCCTGGTTTAGCGTGCTGGTCAGCCACTAGAATTGTATTCACTTTTCTAGAACCATACAACAAAAGCGACATAAAGTTCAAATGATATGTTGCTCAATTGAGATAGGCAGGGAAACCTACTCTAACGAACATTGGACTGAATGCTTTGGGCTGTACTGGATCGCGAAAGCTGCGTGAAATATGAAGACCTGAGTTTGGTATCGGGATCCCATACCTAACACTTGTTTTTATAAAAAAAATTTAATAGTTTTGTGAAGGGTATTACCATTATAAATCTTTTTTTTATGTTGTTACTTTTAGGCCTTTTGCAATTTTGCAAATTTTTCATAAAAACTTTCTGTTCGATTAATTTTATTTTGAATTTATGCGGGTAGGCAGCCATTTCTCAATCATTATTCATCGTTTTATATACCAGATTTATCACTTTAGCTTAGTTTCCTCCAAGTGAAAACGTGGAATTCAATAACCAACTATAGGCGAAGGGAAAGAAGTCGAGCGAGACGATTACTAACTGTAAAGCCGACCTGCATGTTATTGCCCTCACATCCTGACGTCACAAGACAGCTGCACATTCCAGAAAGAAAAGCCATGCGTTGCTTGCTTTGAATTCCACGGTGACGAAACCGCGTCCACAAGGAGTTCAAATCAAATCGATTTTGCATCCATCTCTAGCCAACTAAGAAGGAAAGGGTATAACGTTTTGAAAAGTTACTCACAAAAATAAAAAAATTAATTAACCACAAAGAATTATTTACGGATTTAAGAGTGGTTTTGGCCTGTGAACAATATTGAGCTAATATTTTTAATGAAACTGAATATTTCGGAAATAAACTGAGGCCAATTTATTGCTCAGTATTGTGTGGCAGTATATATTTTGAACGCCCAGCCATCTGTTTTTTTAAACATTCATATTCGAGATATCGATAATAAAAGCATTAAATTTCGGTACATACTGAGATATTAAAAATATCTGAAGTACTAAAAATATCGCACAACAAAACTTCAAAATTTCTTATACATAACAAAATATCCAAGACGCAATCTAATACATTCTGCTTATTAGCAGGTAAGTTAACTAACTTATGTAAGAGTAAACATTAGGCTTCAAAAATTGGCAAATAAATTGTAAAATAAGTTTTATAGATGTGATGTTGTTACTGTCAACAACACATATAAAACCTTAGCATGACGCGATTAACCTATAATACATGAATGGCAGTAGAAATTTGAAGAAAGTCTTATTACGATTTTGATTGATAAAGAAATATGGTTAGAGAGACGAAACTTTTTATGTGTACACGATAACTCAGCTCATCATTGAGAAACAAAGCTCAGACACTTTTTCGTCTCTGTAATGCTCGCTTATCACGCCCACTGTGGACTGCGGAAAGAGCCGGAACAGCAATGTCATTATCTAACACTGGTGGCTCACTTGAAAGACAATTTAAGCCTTGAAAAGATGGAAGTGCTGAACAGGTTAAGACGGAAATAGTTAGAAAAATATTTGCGCAGAATTCAGGTTGAGATATGCAGTGTAAATTTTGGATTTGTACTGCAATGTTTCTGGCTTAATACTGAATATATTTAAATATCTTATACAGATTTATAAATACTATAGCTAGGAACAAAGCAACACAAATTGAAGATACAATATGTCGGATGAAGAAGTATGTATGCTTTTTGTTTACTATTTTTGTAAATAGAAACAATTTATTGCAATATTTAAATTATTAAATTAATAATTTTGATTGTTTTTATATAAATATAACATTGAGTATTGAATTAGTTTTGCAAAATTGTTATATTTCATAATTACTACTACCCTTCGCTGTTATAAAATTTCAATAACTAATAATTCAATTTTTATTGATCATTTCTAAACCTTTTCTGTAGCCAACTATTCATTTTATATTCAAATTAGTCGTAGTACTATATACATATATATTACTGATATGTCAGTCTACGCTAAACAACACAAATTTCTTGGTAGAAAATTCAGCGAAGTCCAACTTATGTTTAGGATTGGGTAAAGAGAAGTAACTTACTTATGTTACTTTCAAACTATTTGTGCCTATGTTATATTTCTGGTGGAAAACGAATTCCCAGGGTACAAAAAGTCAAAATACAGTATTTTTAAAATCAAGTTCTACAAAACGTTGACCGGAACCGGAAATTTATAGTTTCAAATCAATCGTGATACTTGCTGAATTTGGGTGTCTCAGGCATCTCCGCGGAAGTACAAAATCAGAAAAGCTGTAATTTTGCTCTGATCTAAAACTCGCTTTCATCAAAATATTTCAAAGCGACTACATTACCCAATTTTTTTTTATTGCTAAATAGATATAACAAATATCGTATATTTGAAAACTTAATTTCGTAAAATTAGTCATATATGACAAAAAAATAACAACAGAAGTTGGAATTAATGTAAAAAAAAAAATTTTAAATTTCGTTATGTTCAAAATAAAAGATTTTTTTGATATTCTTCGACTAATTGTGATTGTGAAAAGGAAACTGTTATTTTTGCTCACGTAAAATAGGGTGTCATAATGTAACTTTTGCTTTAAATAGGTAACAATTTGTTTTTTCAAAGTTTGATTACAATGCTTCGTGATGATCAATAATACGTCAAAGGTTTTAAAAATTCCAAAGTTCCCGAGAGATTTTAAAATTCCTTGGAGACTTTATGACTTGAGTTTTTTAAAAGATTGCATAAGTTTTAAAATTTTCGTTAATTGAATATTTCTGATAATTTAGTTATGCTGATTGAACATATTTTTGGGTATTTTGAACAAGCACAACATAATGAAACGCCTGAGATAAACTAAACGTCAATTACTAAGTCGATTTTATAAAATTATTTGAAACGATTGCACTTTTTTGTATGTATCATAAGAGACAATTAAAAAGGATAAGTACTAAAAATTGCCCTTTGATATAGCAACTTTAAGTTATCTCTATCGGATTTCGAATTCATTGACAAATTGATTTGATCAGATATTATTCTTTTGATCTTCTGGTAATGTTGTGAGCACTGGTTTGGTCATCTCATATCGGGATTTGTTCTCGATTTCGCTTACAACTTTAGCAGTTCTGTAACCACTAGTGCGGTTAAACGCCAACTGCTGTTCTAAGAATAATAATTAAGTTATGACGAAATGCTTCAGAGCGAATACGAAACCTCGGAAGAGGAAGGAGATACGGAAAGCGAGAGCGAAGAGGACGGACAGGCGAAGGTCTATACAGGCAAAGAGCACGAGTCAAAGCGGTTCGCGCTTGTATTTCTGCATGTATAACCCGAACAAGTTTTAGAATTTAGTTGATTGTATGCAGACGAATGTCAATAAATAGCGGAGACATAAAACAGCACTTAGTAAAGATAATATCACGTAAGGTATCAGCTTCACTTGACCACAGATATTATCAAGGAGTCAGCTTGGCGAATATATTTTTGTAACGTTGGTGATAGAAATGTCAAATTGAAATAACCCATGCATGCATGCAATTTATATTAACAATCTTCATGGTATTTTGATCCGCTTACACCAAAGGCAGACAGTTCGTATTATTTTACTGCCTATACTGGTTTGTCTACGTTTATATGTCTGCTACAGGTTTGGTGAACATAACGTTGCATGCTCATTAGACTAGACTAAACTAAATAACATGTGCACTTTTGGTACTGATTATACACTTTGTACATATTTGTCACCGAAATGCTCATGATACTTTCATGTTTTGATCATTTCATATTAAGGAAAATGTAAGTCCAACAAAGAAAGATGAAATACAGGAGAAGCAGCTAGATGAAAAGCCGAGTCATGTGACTATACCTGCCAAGCAGGCCGCCCAGGTATACATTGTAATTATATTGTACTATATTTATGACTTCAGTTTAAAGCAACATTTCATTCGGCATCTCAATTCATTAACTACGTTTGGGATTGAATACATATTCTTGTTTGCTACACATTTACATTCACACGATTTTAGCAATATTACCAATAAAAATTCTTTCGCATATAAGTAGCCAAACTACGTAGCCAGAACTTATGTTTCGGAGCTTTTAAATTGGAAGTCCCTAGATACCATATTCGAAATACGTCGTGATACTACTTATGAGCGTCGCGTCAGTTCCCGGTTATTCCTACACCGCCGGTAAAGAACAGCATCGTATACGACAGCTGTCTCTTTCCGTCATCAATTATAATCCTCATCTGTACGTTTGTACGCTATGACATGTAGAATGATAGTAAATCTAATCCTAGATTTTTAATGAACGTCTAAAAACACAAATACCGGTAATTTGAATTTTTCGAGCCTATATTAATTCGAAAATAAAGGAGGAAGTTTTTCACAGAATCGTAAAATTTTCGATGTTAGCAAAAAATGAAAACAAACATACCTCAGATAATCGTTTGTTTTAAATTGACACGAAATTTCTCCCAACTATGGACAACTATACAATGCACATAATTCAATCAGCAAACGACTTGAAATTTTGGTTTCCGGTGTGACTAAGGAAACAGCTACATCGCAGCTAGAATATCGATGGGAATGATCACGTTTAAAAACCTTTATGTCCGACCATTGTACTACACGAAGGACCATGTGTTATTGACTAAGTAAATTTCTTAGTCTATTTCCCTTCTGGCGGTTCAAATCTTATGTCTACTGTTTTGTTCTCAAAATGGACAATAACATTGGAAGCATCACACGATGTACTTAACTACTTTTGTGATCAGAATTCTAGAATCGATTTTTTATAAAGTGTGGCTTATTATCATTTCCATTATCATAAAGCTTGCAATCGCCTTTCATTTTCACAGTCGAAGATTGTTGTTGAAAATTCAGCAAAACCAGAGCAGAAGACAAGTTTGAGTACAGTAAGTTGATCAGTGATGAGTGTAATAAAATGGTTAGGAACAGCTAAAATAAACGGGAAGAAGACAAATGCTTTTTACAATATAAAACATCGCCTCAATTTACATCGCATACATACTGATTACAAATCACGCTGAATAGTACAATAATTACTCACGAAAACTCAATATTTTGCTATATATATGCTATAAAATTATAAAAATGTTCAAATTGGTATGAAATTTAACATATTAACATTTATGCCAGCAAATAGTAACCCAGAAAAGGTAAGGCCCTCTCAAAACCCGGAGACGAAGGAGATCCTCGGAGACATTTAACCCAATGGGGTAGATTATCGTAGACTAAAATGAAAAACAATTTGATAAATTTTTGCTGGGGAGAAAAAACAGTAAAACGCGGATAGCAGTAGTCCTCGGAGTCAACTGAAAAAATGTTTTCCTGTCACAATTACAACGATGAATAATTGCTAACAATAACCATTACCGGTTTTACAGTTTTGCTAGGTGGTTGAGATAATATTTTTACTTTCGTCGATAGCACCAACACAGCAGTGGAGGAAGAAAGATGACGCACGCAAGAAAGCAAAATCTCAAGTCGCTTATGCTCAACAAAGCGCGACAAGATCTGAAAGTTGAAGCTGAGAATAAAGCCGAGGAAAAGAAGAGAGTACTTGACAGCAGAATGGAACCCCTGGCAAACTTGGGCGGCATGGATGAATCGGAGTTGAAGGTTAGGTGACATTATTAAGAAACCTTTTTTTACGCTGAAACATCAAGATTATGATTTTAAGACCCATAGTTTTAGGTTTGTGAAGTCAAAGTTATCTTTTTTAATATTTTTACAAAATATTCCACCTAAATATTGTATACTTTTTTTTGCAAAATAACAGAAACTGTTTATATATATTAAACGTCACATATACGTTAGGCACACCAGTACAACATAGGTCTATTTTGGAGTTTGACGAAATCACGATGTAGGCTGTTAGTCTCTGGCGACATTTCGAGGAAATAAATTTGAAAAAATTTTTTTGACCAGCAAAATTTTTGGCACTACAATACTAACTGTGAATCATTATTGTAAACTATATTTAATACTAACTTAATAAACAATATTATTTATCTAATATTATGGTGTTCTTAACATGCAGTTTTACCCTGGAAAGTACTTGAAGGTAATAACGTAATTTATGACAATATATGAATGTGAGGATCAAAATACGATTTTGCATGAGCGAACTTCAGCTCATAAAATGGAATATGAGCAATGCAATATATATATATATGTGACTTTTTTCTGAGTTGAATCAAGTATTAACGTTGTTGAAAATAACAATATTTACCTTCAAATGAACACCTATTGATGGTAACACTCTTTACTTGCAGGAGTTATGCAGAGATCTTCAGAACAAGATTGAGAAAACTGATGAACAGAGATATGACATAGAGGTGAAAGTCAAGAAGAATGATCAAGAGGTGTAATTTTTTAATATTAACATAATTATGCAGCAACATATCTTCGGTAATAAATTTTATTTTCGATTAAACGTAAATGGAGCATTTCAGAAAGAGGCAAAAAATATATAATAATGACCTGGTAATTAATTCTACTATATGCAGACTCGAAGGACTATGAATAAGCTTAAAAACTGATATACGGCATTGTAAAGTAGAAACCCCATGTTTTTATCTTCTTATTTTTATATTTTAACCAGTGTAGACATGGTTTTAAAAAAATTATTTTTATAAAATTTTGCTCTGTATAAAAGTATATTTAAATCGTAGAAAAACTCCAAATTGATATGGCCCCAAAGCTGAATATTCTGCTATTTTCATGTATTATTTTTGGTTTTTGCCAAACCCTTGTAATTGACACCTAAACTTTATTTACAGATAGAGGATTTGAATCAGCGAATATTCGACCTCCGTGGAAAATTCAAGAGGCCTCCACTCCGTCGCGTTCGCATGTCAGCCGACCAAATGCTCCGAGCTCTCCTTGGATCCAAACACAAAGTATCAATGGATCTCCGCTCCAATCTCAAGTCTGTCAAAAAAGAGGAGAGCAAGAAAGAAGATGTAAGAATTTTAAAATTCATCTAAACCTGTGTCAATATTAAACAATTGTATGTAACAACATTTTTCGATATATACATTTTCTAATTTTCCTCATTGAATTATATTTAGCAGACCATCGACTGGCGAGAAAATGTTGAAGCAAAATCTGGCATGAGTGGTATGAAGGCAAAGTTTGAAACTCAAGAAGAAGCATAGGATCTCCATTTTTCACAAACATAAATTTTCATATTTGGATATAATTGTGGTCATGCTTATTATTTTCTAATATTTTGCTCCCGTACAATAAAGTTTTGTCCCATAGTAAACTGATTGTGCGAGAGAGATGTGATTTATATAATGGAGCCAAACGGCTATAGAAACAACTATTATGGAGAATATCATACTGCATCGTCGGAAATTGTATGCTTATAATCGTCTTACAGTGAAATATGGTCTTGTATCTTCAAATGAGCATTTATATTAAAAGAGCAATACATTATTTTGCAACTGAAGTCTTTTTATAGGATATGTCTAAATTGATTTGAAAACTTCTGCAGTACCAGGGATTACCCATAGCTAAATAGATAATTGTCCAACAGCCGAGATAAGAAACAGGACCAGACAAAGGATTCTCATTACTTTTCTCTGGAAAGTAAAGCTGGGAAAACGGATTAATCGTATATGGCAAACTATGTAAGATATTGCGTTGACCAATCTAGCTTGAATATGGAAGTAAATCCCTAGTTTAACGGTCCAAATAAATAGATGCGGTTGAAAAAAAATAATAATGTTTCCTACCCATAAACTTATCCTTCGAGGACTCACATCGGATTTTTAGTAACGCGTTGAAAAACTCCTTATAAGTAAAATAAATAGGAAAATAAATAGCGCCAATGAATTTCCAAAAAATGATTTTGGTGCACAGACATACGATATCGAAACATTTATACCTAATTTTGTTATAATTGGACACGGAGTGGACCTATAAATCGTTTTGTTATTATGCCGTTGTTCTTGTTCTTCGCCATGGAATTTTATCGTTATGAAATCGCTTTTCTCTTTGATTTCTGGAACAATTGCCTTGAAAATATCACAGGTTAAAGATTCTATTTTTTACTAAAATGCTATTCCTTTAATTTATTTCAAATATTTCTGTGAGCTCTATGGGATCAGTTTTTGTGTGCTATGACGTCACTAAAATGTGCGCACCTTGTGGCGGTTCCGCGAACGCATATCAGCGGATCTCGTGCTCAGCGAAAGTAGGAAGTTTTTTTTATGGGAAACGGTAGATGGTGGGACATGATCTGATAATACAGAAGCTACTCGGATCAGTTGGTATTTTAATTCACGTTGAAACTGAGTCAAGAAGAATGGTTCATCGTCACAGAATTTGGAAAAGGTATGACAGTCCATGTACCGCCACGGTAACCCGATACAGGTACTGGTAAGTTACCGCATATAATTTCGGGGAATTGGTGATAAAATATTTTCTCCGTGCCCAAAAATTTAAGCATAGCTCTCTTGTTCATTTGTATAAACGTAAATCGATATTTATCTGAAACAGTCAAAAGTTTCCATGCAGCCTATACGATGGTTGTTGTCTCTGATGAGAAATTATCAACCATACGCTGATATTGCTCTGGTGTTTATCCGATGTCACTAGAGATATAATTTAACAATCCCATAAGAGCAAATGTGAAAGTTCATAAAATCAACAGAAAGTAGAAAGATGCTTAATGGTGATCAAATTTACGATGCGCTCATATACAAACTACACTGAATTATCCGCATTTAAAAAACAATAGTAAAGTGCCACAACCATTCAAATATCAACAATCTACTAATGGTGGCATTAAGTACAATAAGTAGTCAAATATTTTGTAACTGGAACAATGTTCATGCTGTTCTTGATCTTGATGTATTTTAATCGGAACAAAATCGTTACAATCGATTTCAAGGTTTTGTAATTGAAGATGGGAATGCCTCCTATAATACTATTAGTTTAATAGTTATGCAAATATTTTCCGCAGTTTTCTTTTCCGCCTTTCACCTGAAATTTTGTTGGTCTTGAGAAAAATGCGCAACTAGATGGATTTTCTTCTCGTCGATATATAGGATATCCCCAGTAGTGAGATTCTGGGAGGTTCGCGAAATTAGGGATCGTACTCTTAGTGAATTTGATACAAAAGAGAACTATTTCTTAAAATTTTGTATGTTACCACGATCCGCCGTGATGATACAACTTGCCTGAACATTTGGACACTGCTTGCTTGTTTTAATATATATATTAATTTCAGTTTGTGCTCAACATAGCACGCACACCCATCCATCCGTACTTTACCTGCCATTGCCGATGTTCCATTTAATATTAAATATTGGAAGCCTATAACTATTTCTCTGTCCTGAAATGTCTTCGTGTGCAGGCGTGACGTTTGGGCAGTTGAAAGATCGTTTAGGTGGTTGACGATAGCAGAATGTGAGAGAAAGTCAACACAATATAACACGAAGCAAGTGCTTGGATTCAGGTTTCAAGAATTGGGTTTCAATTGAAGCGCATTTTTATGTGAAACAATGCCATAATTGAAAATCTGCATGACAGGCCACACGCGTGGACTAAGCGGTTTTAGTTGCCACAAAGAAAATGCTAAGACTAGTAAAGCGAAATTTTGGAAGAGAACACTGATTTGACACGATTTTATTTTATCTTCTTTGTAGAAATAAGTTGGTTCAGGGCAAATTTACAAGCATTGGTGCAAAAAGGGCACGCACCTACGTAACTTCTTCAAAAATATATGCATTGCTTTATTCGATTTTAAAAGTCCTTGACTCACTAGCATTTCACGTCAGACCAAGTTATCCAAACATGTACGGAAATTCAATCCATGTACATGTACGGAAATTCAATGTTGAAAACGATACATTTCCAGTTAGTGGTGACTATTTTGTTTATTGATTGAATTACTAAGAAAACGAAAATGTCGGTGAATTTGTTCCTACTCTCAGGAATCAAGACGGTTCATGTGAATCATTATAATATCAAACTATTGCTTTTAAGTGAAATGTGAGAGCCAAATATTTTTGCTTGAAGAGGCTTTTTCCGATAGTGTTGCAAGTATTGTCAAGTAAATTGTCTTGTAGCGAACGATAATGGTCAATCGCAATAACATCGAAATAGAATCCATTCGTTTACGCTTGAGATCATTCTAACAGGAAATGTAATTTTACTCAAAATCGACAACGCTACTTAAAAAGGTGATCATACGGCAAAAAATTTATTCGTTTACCGGTACGTTATCGCGTGTGTAGTATTTTTCGAATGATGCAATAATGGACGTACATGCTTACAGGTATATTTCATACCAAAACTCATTATACTAGAGAGTAATCAATCAGCGTTAAAAATGCACGTTTTACGTCCGTGTAAAAATGTCAAAAAACTCACGCAAGACGTGAAGAATTACAACGATTGACGTGACAAATTTGCGTCGAAAAATAATTTTGCTCTATAAACGACTGAGTGGGAAGGACATTAATAATATCAGCCGTAGCGAGCGACAGTGCATAATCATCAATCGAAATAGTTTGCGTATAAAACGTACTAAGCGCAGAACTGCGATTGCGGCAATATTGATCAACGCAAGACGTAGTAGCAGGATAATGTCATTAGTGATAAATGAGACTTCAACATTACTCTAAATATTTTAAAGCACTTTCGAGGAATGATTAAAAAGAGTATTTTAGTTTGCGAAAAAATTTGTCTGTAATATCCGCACAAATATGGAGTATATTGTACAGCTATGTGATGTGGTGTGAGGTCAGAAAGACAAAGAAAAAAATGGAGTGGGGAAACGAAAAAAGTTTACAGCTTTTGCTATGAGCATTTTTATTATTTTATTCTAATGATGAACAGAAACACGCATTTAAATTTAGTTAAAAACATATTGTTTTTGTACCGTAAGAAATAGTACAAAACATGGCGCGACCAATGTTATCCTAACTCCTGCAGTCGCAATGACTATATTATTGCAATTCTTCAGCTCAGATTGCGTTCTGATGATTTACCGTAATCACGAGTAACATGTTCCTCGAAAAATGAGCGTTTTAGACCTAAAATTATACAATGAAAGGTTTTTGAACCGATTACATTGTTAGATATAGTATAACAGATACATTTAAAAGTGCAAAGTAGAAACAAAATATGTGTTATTGATTGTGTATGTTCGACATTCGTGCATAAAAGTGATCTATTTTAAAGGTTACAAGGCTTTGTGTTTCTTCATTCATTTTAAACTACGATTAATATTAGCTGATATCAAGTGCATACTACTTAGTACCGTATCTTAATTGATGGAAGAGTTGGACAGCAGCATAATATGGTAGAGTTTGACACGAACCGACGTATTTTAAGGTTACACTGTCATTTTGAGTCGATCATTTTTCTACAACAAATATTCAAATTCGGTCTAAGATGATTAGCGTTACAAAATTGATTTGTGTTTTTGAATTACTGGGTCTGCTTCAGGATAGCCTTATATTCTCAGGTTAGAGATCGATTGACCAACTAACAACCAACCAGCCTAGAAATCTGGGTTGTCGTATTATTGACTGCACAGATGATATCATGACGGAAACGCTTGATTATGCTGTCGCTCAAAAATTATTACTTGCAATTTCATGTCATTCTATAAAAAAGCTGTATACACAGATATAAACACGATAGTATATTGCACTTTAATTTTCGCCTTCTTAACTGAGAGATTCAGACCTGATGGTACTTTTTAAAGAATAAATACTGATTACTATATCAGTACAGCATTGTACTGTGTGTATTATCGCACACTATTAACGTTAATTCAAGTTTAATTTAGCGGTCACGGGCAGCTGATGTAGTAAACACATTTTGTAACATGTACCCTCGTAGTAATGAGTTCACGTCAATTGAAGTATACCAATTATACAGCATAAAAGAAATGAGTCTTTTTCTTTATTATACAATAATTAACAACTTTATCATAAAATAGCTTATGTTTACATAATTACTTCTTTCGGCATAATTCATTATCACATGCAATGAGGTAAAGAGCATTAAATTCATCCCAGGACAAGCCAGGAATGCATTGCACAATCGAGAGAGATAAAGTACAAGCTTGGCAAATTATCAGACGAGTACCGATTAGATTAGAAAAAGCATGATGCAGAACCATTTTGGAGAGAAAACACACGGAAATTCCTATCACATATGTGTATATACACGCCCATTGATGCTTTCCGTGCATTAGAACTCATCGCCAACGTTGTCGGTCGACAACAGTGTTCGAGACAAAAAAAAGTTGATCCAAGTTAATAATAATCTAAATTGACATGTATCTATGGTATACAAGTGTATTGTGGCAATTTTAATCAATTAATTATAGATTAGTAATACTGAACTCAGAAAGGTTTTATATTAACAAAAAAGGCTGAATTGTAATACTCAGTTAAGTGTAGCCTACATTGTTGTTCTTAGGACGACCTGATGCCTCAATAATGAAATGACATTTTGTTGTTTCGCACGGTATTAAATATCAAGTCTGCCCATGATATGAAAAAAACCATTGAAGTTATGCAATTTTTTGATTACCCTAGTGTACATCCCGAATTTGCTCATAATTTAGCATGCGATATACTAGTATCGCAATTTGAATCGATTTTTACGGTTTTAAATATTAGTGATTAAGTTGGATATTCACTATTGAATGACATTGAATTAATTTTCTTTTAATCTCGTTTGACAGTAAATGAAAATGCACCCGGTTTCACAATACTATGCAAGAATCGAAATTCATAAAACCGACTCCGGTTAATGCTTTCCCATCAAATATGCAGGTGTTTGTTCATGTGTACATATGCAACATACATATACAAACTTTAAAGTGGCTTGGCGTAAAATATAATATATTAGCTACTAAACTTTAAGTAACGTTGACTTTGTTTCAAATGCAATATTGTATAACAGTTAATATCAGCAATATTTTATATACAATACATATGTTACGAAACGGAGTAATGGCAATGTACGTACCTGGGGAGTCGCCTAGTATCGCTAAAAAGGATTTGACCCCAAGTAATGCGAACGGAAAGAAAGCGAAAGGCATGTTTTCGCGGGGAATATCCCCGGATAATTTGAAAGAAAATCTTATTAAAACATGCCTAAAGAAGCAGAAAAGCGATGCTGGTAAAGGTATGTCTATTTGTATTAACTTTATTTATTGTTGTCTTTGATAAGTATTCTAATTAGCAAGCCACAGACGATTTTATAACCTACAAGTTACTCAGTGTATCAAAATATCAACATTTTGTCTATTAGGCAATACTGTTTATTGTCATTTGGTATAAACCTTTAATATGCCCTCAGCTCTGATTTTAAATTCTAAACAAGGTTTAAAACAAGATTGCCAACGATGATCACCGCTGTTTAATAATGAATTACGGCAAGTTGTTTTAGCTTATATATTTTCGAGTTTGAGTCGTGTCTAGTTTGTAGAAAGTTAACCTACTTCTAACCATATGTAGGCTATAATTAGGAGTATTATATTTACTGGTTTATATAAAATGTCCTTAAATGAGTGATGCTAAAAATAGATTAGTGACTGGATGGGGAGTCAATAAAGTTGATTTTTGAGTTTTCAATTTCAAATTCAATTTGGACTTTGTCTATTGGGGCAGACGAATCTCAGACATTCTGTCTAATTCAATCAATAATGTGACAAATGAAATTAATTAATAGGAAATATGGTAAAAGCGGGTATAATTTGAATAAATAATGATGCTCTTCGTTGGCATCAACTTCAGCAAATATAAATTTTGGCATGCCTAATAATAAAAATGATATAATATTTAACCATTTTCAGTTATTTGCAAAATTGCACTCCTAATCAAGATCTGTCAACTACCAATATATCGCCGAAATACTTTCAAGGTCACATCTCGTCAATATCCCATTTTAGGTTGCGGCGTAAAAGATTACATAAAATTCAAGATCAATATTTGCATGAATGAATGAATGGATTATTTCTATAATTTTAGATCAAACTAATTTTATGCCAGACTGAATCAGTTAAATTAGAGAAATTAAAATTCCAAAATATTTTGAAAACAATAAATATCTTCATCGCGTTCTTGCAAATTTATTTACATATAGGTAACTTATGTCGTTTCATAAAATTGTAACTTGGACACAAAAAAAGACGTCTTTCACTATATTGGCAATGATGTTCATGTTTCGGATTGTACGGGCAAAAATTCGTTTTTTTTAACCCCCCAAGTGTCCCGTGTGTATATGATTTATTAAATATCTGAATATACCACGTGATTGGGAAATTCTGGTTGATAGGTTTTCCAAAACTCTTCAATATTTATTTTGAAATGAAAATTATAACAAAATTAATCAATATTTTGCACAATAATTTATAAAATAAAATGAAAAGCAGACGTATGAAGGAATCTTTGTTCTCATTTAATCGAAGTTATTGGGAAACATAATTTAATATTTTCGAGAAGACCGTTTGATTGTAATGATTATAATCAAGATGATGAATATTTGAATAAAAAAGTAGAATTCTCGTAATATTCTTTCGTGTTTTATGATCACACTATTTACGTTATTTTTAATTTAGTAAACGTTTCAAATTAGTATGTTCATTTCAGACACTCCACCATCCCACGTTGGAATCAGTTTAAGATGGTTTACCGCATATCACTTCAGGCGAATTGCCCGGCTTCGACATTTATTTATAAAATCAAACAAAAAGATGGAATTTTCGACATTTCTTTCGTTTCAAAAATAAAAGGTTTAAACCAGGGTCGTTCAACCTTTTTGGCCGAAGGGCCACATGTAGTTTACTATCAAGTGCGTGGGCCACTTAACATGGTAGTTATTTTTTAGTTTTGCTACACTGACTGCATGTTAATGAAAAAACAAACAATACCCTCACGCCAAACTTTCAGAATTATTAGAACAATAAAACTGTTGTTTCCCAGCCATTGATGGGGCACCATCAGTGGTTATTCCCGAAAGCTTTGCCAAAGACAAGCCGATACGCTCAATCATTTTCATCACAGCTCCCAACAAACCAATGTTCATAGTCGTGCCCTTAATTAATTGGGACAGTGACTGCGAGCTCTTCGGTAATTTTCAAAATCATCATTAACCTCTTCAACACGACGAGAATCTTCTGTCTTGACAGGCTTATTTTTGCAAACGCCTTTTTTATTTCCGGACATGAAACATTGGCAACTCGAACAATACATTGCTTAACGAATTCTCAATGTGAGAATGGCTCCGATTGCTTTGCGATTTTGTTCTGTCACGAAGTAGCTAGTTTTATGTATGTATTATGGATTTTATGTATGTACGTAGCGACTATGGCATCTCAATATATCGATATCTCCTCCCAGTTGGTTTCGATTCTAAACGGCACTCATGGCTCGTTTGAAAGGGCTGGTAGAGCGGATATCAGGAAAATAAACAAATCGTTCGTATCACATCTTTGTATACTACATCACTACTCGAATAATAGTTATACTCAATTTTTTTTATTCAAATCTGAAAAATACAGCGCGGGCCACACGAAATGCTTCTGGGAGCCACATATGGCCCGCGGGCGACGGGTTGGACGACCCTGATTAAAACCAATCTTCATATTTTCAATGTTAATTTGAGTTCATCTGTGATCTGAACGCGGGCTGTTGAGACATCTTGTAGTCGATGCGCAAACAAATACAAAATCTGATCAAACCGGCAACGTACAACGTCAATCTTAATTTGCTAATTTAAATTCAGTTAAGGAATCGATGAAAACTGTATTTAACACAGTAAAATTTCACACTTGAAAGAATAATCTAATTCTTTTTTTGTAAATAGTTGGGATTTGTATTAGATGAAACTGAAGGTTTCTGGATTGAATGCATACCAACATGACATGAGTTACTATAAATATTGCTTTTACTCGGGGTAGAAATATCCCTGACAGCTTCACATATACGTTTATCTGCAGTCATAAATCAATAGAATATTTACTATGTGGTTTTTCTGGAAATCCATGGACTATCCAATACTGAATAAATTTAACTTTATTTGCCTGATGAACACAATTTTTAAATCCCAAGAGATGTTATTCAAATAACTTTACGCGAACGTTTACCTACATGGGCGGACTACGTATAAACACCATTTCGCTGTTTTATTTTCATCCTAATAAAAATTATATAAAAATGGTTAGTTGTACCCTTTTGGCATCGACGAGCAAAAGCAAAAGTCACAAACCGTGATTCCTTTTTTTAGTTTGGGCGTCATAATCCCATATACGATCTTTCTCCACATGCTTATTTTGACATTACTTATCAATTTAATAGAAAGGAATAACCGTAAGATTTATACACCGGAAACAGGAGCGATACAATTTCTAATTGCATGTAAATTATAACGTGTTGGTTTCATGCGTGCTTTGCATATTAATAAGAAGACGTCTACACACCATTAATCCCAATAATCACGTTTTCTTTATGAATATTTCATTAAGCGTAACGGCGCACAACAGTTAATACCTCGAACAAATAATCTTTAAACCAATACTCAGAACTAACGTAATATTACGCAAAATCAAAATCGAAATTTTGGTCCGTGAGACTCTAGAAAGCCTCTAGTCATGCTGACATATACCCATGGCATATCGCATTTTTAATTGCTAAATTTTGGATGCTGCACAAAATTATTCTTAAAATTCACAAATATTCGATTGCTTTTGCATGGCCCTTGATCTTCAAAGCATTACAGATAAATATAGAATATATTAGCTATACGTTAAATTTTATATTAATATGTTACATTTATGCCCTGGCCGTGTGTGATTTTTATGTTGAATTTCTGTTTACAAGGCAGACTAAACAGAAGATAATTTGAGACCATGTAAATTCACATCTTTTTATCACTAACAGAAGTATATTATATACATGAAAACAATAAGACGACAACGTGTTTGAATCTAGAACCACCTCGAATCCATTAGCCAAATTCCTCGTTTTCAAAACTGAATGGCATTAAAAATTCAAAGCATAGCTACAAAGACAACCTGGAATGCGATGCGGTGAATTTGCACGAAATCTTTTTGGCAGTCAACAATGAATTACATTTTTTTTCCAAATTCCCGAATAATAAACGAAACTTTAAAGATGTTATTAAACAAGAACCTTGCCTCTTATGTGACCGTAACCATAAACAACATAACATTGATCTTTGCGGCCATGCCATGGACGGGAGACATGGAGGTTAGAAATTGATACTTGACGTATTTTGTAAAAAGTCTTTTCGCTCTAAATAATCAAGTATTTGTTCCTAATTTGCAGACATGAAATCCTGTTTTGCTGTTTAAAACTAAACAAGTTATTGAATGAAAAATCCTCTACGCATATAATAAATTTTACTGTCGAAATTTTAAAAAGAAATCATCTCGCAAAAACTGGCATAAAAATCAATCTTCAGTATACGTATCGGCGCCAATCGCTTCTGAGCAATTTAGAAGTTTGTAAACATTTATTTGTTTTCCAAATAGTAGTGACCTTTTCCATGGAGTGCATAAATGAAAGTATATTTTCGGTCCAGTGACGACCTTTAGTTTGTTGAACTGTTTTGTCACGGGGCTTGGAAAGACTTTAATTACTTTCAAGTCCCTATTAATAAATTACAAAGAACAAAAAAATAAGAATTCATTTCGAGTAGTCGTGTATGTGTCACGAAATTCTTAATTCATTACCGTAGAGGCCACCATCGAATCAATAAAAGAGAACTAATGGTATTGCGCTTGACCTGTCTGGGGTCACTCGGTGGATAGTAGGAATATGCAAACGTGATTGTTGTATACTATAATTATGCCTTCTCTAATTGGGTTCCCTTATAAAACATAGTAGCACCCAACATATCAATGGCTGCTTGACCGGAGCCCTATTGTAAATTCACCAATGACGTAGGCTATAGCAGCATAGGAAGATTTTCGTTTTTGCTTGGTCAAATAAACTGTGACGCCTTATGGGTTTTGTCGCACGATGAGTGTACGTGGTGACTCGCTGGAGTGATTTAAAAGTATCCTTTTTCGACGATTCGAACCAAATTATTATCAAATCTATCCTATTATATTTTTCATCATATTATGATTTCATGAATTCTAAATTATCTCTTATATTTCATGTTAACTTCTTACATGTTACACTCATATCTGAGAAGCAAATCAGTATAATACCATCCTTTGGTGTTTCTTTCCATTTAGAATACCGTGGGGAGAGAGTTCGACTCAACATTTCAGGAATGCTTTACGAAACAAGACTAAAAACATTAAAACGATACCCGACCACTCTTCTAGGAAATGAAGAAACACGAGAAGCTTATTACGACGAAGAAACAGGCGAATATTTTTTTGACCGTGACCGACAAACGTTTGATTCGGTTTTACGATTCTACCAAACCGGTGGAATCTTGATAAAACCGACAAGCGTACCTGAGGTGAGTCACCTTTCGACATTGTTGAAAGACATAAAATCGTTCATATTTTAAAAGAGCTTATCGCTGTTCCATGGTCATACTTTGTTAAATATAGGTGTGAACGTTTAAAGTATCATAGAAGATACCAGTAAAATAAACCACAATTCAGATTTGGAGTATGGAATTTTGGTTGTGTATGAATGTTTTTTTTAATTTCTTATTGCAAGTTATCATTCCATTACCATCTGCTGTTGTGCACGCGTATCAAATGCACATCTGATTCACATAAAATACCACTGAGATTATATCACGTTCAATAGATCACATTTTAAATCAATATTTCTCTCAAAAACACATTAAACTATGGCTATTGATATCGATGCTACTTTCAATTATCATATCAAAGTCTGTGTGTGTCGCTGATTTCTCTGAAAAAAGTAGTTAAATTATATTTTGATAAATCTGAAATGATGCGATCGAAACTTATTATTCATAGGTGCCTGTCACTTTCTACCTTTTGCCATGATCGATGGCCTAACATACTTTTAATCAATTAAATTTTAATCAATTATCGATAATATCACGAGAAAATAGCATACCAAGTTTAACAAAAACTAGTGTGCCCATTTGATACCGCCACTTTGTATTCTACAAATGATTTTGTGAATTTCAGTACAGAAGTCTCCTTCATTACCTGTAACCCTGCGAGGTCTTCACTTATATATAGCTTAATCAGTGGCCACACAGCTGATACCAAACAAAGCATTATCATAATGAAAATTTGTGTTATACAGACCCATATTCTGACACACTGTATTTCACTTCAAAATAATTGTTGCTATTCGAAAACGACTAGAAGAAGTCGCTGCATGCTGGGTGCAACCGCAAGGTCGCCATAGACATAATTATAGAGAGTATACTCAAAATATAATTCGTTAGGCTACGTCTCAATAGACTCCTCCCAAGTCGCTCGCGTAAATTGTTTATGAATTGCATACTGATTGTGTGTGAAAATTATGACAGCATGCAACCCAATATGATTTATACTCTCAACACAATTGCGGAGAATTTAATATTATCGTAATGGGGTTAAAATTATCGATTTATCTAGAATCTAAAAGTTTGAGCGAGCGTAAAAACATAGATATGTAAATATAATTCGGTTAATATTGACCGAATAGCGTAACGATACTGTCGTTAAGTCAGTTAAAGCAGTGTTCTTGTCAATTTAGATAATCCTGTCGACGAAACTTCGACGACAAACTCAATGACGTGAAAAAAAAGTTTAAATAATATAGAAAATAGGCAAATATTGGTTGCGTTTCTGTGTTTTCCCATGATAATGCACATGCAACACTTAGGTAACTATGTGACATACAGGTATAAAAAGTTAAGTACTGAACAAAGATTGACATAATCACCCCCTTTACACATTGTAATCTAAATTTCAACCTCAATAGGACTTTTGGAACAGTGCCGGTAGACTAACGGAAGTCTATCGAGCAGACAGGGAATTTGCATGGATGGTGTGTGGATGAATTGCAATCCTTTAATTTTTACAATATGTAAATTGAATGCAAAAAATATATTATATCATTCAAGTGTGCTGAAAAAGATTGGATAAAGTTAGGCAAATTGTCGTATACTCATGGTACCTGCTTTCCAACGGAGACTAGAGGAACTGCAATTCCATGGCCAAAACGCTCAATAAAATGATTGAAATGCATAATCTGTTGTAAACTACATTATTGTCATTCGTATGCGTCCCTCGTGGTTGCATATTATTTTTAATAACAACAAAAAATTTGTCGAAAAACAGCAATTCACAAACGTGATCACGGACATGTTAACACGCTGTTAACCAACGACAGCTAGAGGCTGTGTTTCTCCGACCCTTGACCCAGAAAAAAATGATCTTTTACTTAATCATTGCAAATTAGGCGTTTTTTCGGGAGTTGGCGCTTACATGTTTTATAATCACCATTTCGATTCAAAATATAGTCAAATTTGAAGACAAGCCTATCACAGCTTTTTCGGGACTAATATATATTTGATTACTGCAACTAACTCTAACCCAAACAAATTTGATTTCAAGTTACAGTACTCCATTTATACCTAAATTTCGTGAATACAAGTATAAACTGAAAAATCGATAGCCAAACCAGCACGAGAATGAGCTGATGTACACAGCCATGCCTGAAAATCTGTCTAAAAAATTCTGTCTGTTGATGAAAAATCGGGAAAACATCAATGGCATCCACGTTACACTTATATTTGGAAGGCGAATCAGCAAATTTGGCTGCAACAATATGTACTATTTTTTTATTTCATTTGCCGCATTCATACTCTTATGTTAATTTTGCGTGAATTTTTATTTTATTTTTAGGACATTTTTTACAAAGAACTCGGATTTTATAAATTAGATCAATTTTTGCAAAAACCGGAAGACAACACTGCAACTGCAACTGAACTTTATGAGGCGAAGATGCCAAAAGGAAGAAGAATGAGGATGGTAAGTAAATGTATTTAATCGAGATTTGTGAACAATAATAATTGCTAATCAGTTATTAGAGATCACCAAATTTGTTTACATATAAATCGAATAATGTAAATAAAAAGCATTAACAATCTTTGGAAAGTCTTTTTGGCCATGATGGCAATTGGAATTCAAACGAATGGTAGCAACTCCCGGCATTTGGCAGTGAATTAGTCTAATTTCAACAATTATAGGGATTTGTCTTAGGACTTGGATCCGAATTTTTTATTTCACGTAATTCTTGTTCACAACATAAGAAAACAAAGGCATTGGAAGCTCAAAATAGTCAATAATACGTTTGCAGAGACATTTAAAAATGTGTATCGATGAATTGTGAGTCTATAGAACCAGTCGCTTGAATTAGTAATGTGATATTTTTCAAGTTGAATGTTTATTTTGAACTGCAACAGATCCTTCGAGTAAAGTTACCTTCACTTGAGCGCGTTCATTAATCTTGCATGAGAAGGACTCTTCATCCCGCAATTATAAAATTTAACCTGTCGCCCTAAGGAAAGATTTAAAAAACATTCAGACCAATGCGTTCGCAGAGTACGTAAAATTTTAACAAATAAACCGCAGTTGAATGATTATTTGAGTATGTTACATTTATATATATATACTTGGGGTTACCATATTCTTGTGACCTCGAAGCGGGACGTCTACAATGACCATAGCTGTGATTTTTCAAACTTTAAATTTATTGATTTTACATTGGGGCTTTACATTTAGAACCATCACGGCTGTCTTCATTGACCATATTGTCATCGAGAATTCGTGCGCTGCCTGTCTAAATATCGGTTTCAATTCGAAAATTATCGAAATGAATTAACGTTAAGCGCCCTTTTGGTGTTCGGGGCTTACACGCAACAAATTGTAGCAATTGAAACAACGAAACATCAAAACCACGCATCCACATTCAGTAAATAGGCTACCGGTACGCTACACAGTTACAACAGTATCGAGAACATGCTAATTGGCAATGTTCGTGTATTATTTTGACTGGCTGGGCGCCAAAGCGGGACTTTTGGCTGACCGGTCGGGACCCCGGGACAAGACGTATAAAAGTGGGTGAGCCTATATATACTGCAACATCAATCGTAATCCTCTGACAAATCTTCCCTGTGAATCAGATTTACCAATGTTAAATTCCCATATGATATCAAAAAGCAGTCCCTTATCATAATGTTTGAAAAATTCGTGTCTACATCAGAATAGATCGATTTCGATAGTTGGCATATATCGACACATAAAAGGGATATGAGATTGATACTAAATTTTGGAGGTATTCTAAAACCCTCGAAGATTAAACTAGTGACAGTAATATATAGTTGAATATAACTTGTAAGTCCCTTAATAAACAAGAAATCGTGCAAAAAATGAGCATCATAATGCCGCCAGTACTAATATTACTCATCGTTCGTGTCCTATTAAATTTATTCATACGGGACTACTCCGTGATAAGATTGTGAATTGATGGGCCCTTGAAATCGCCAACTTATGGAACAAATTCAATGAAATAAATACGACCAAGGCTAGGCCATCGCAAATACAAAGACACGCAATCTTTTGTTTCAATTGCTGGTATTGGTCGGAATTCCAATTTTTATCATGAAATTTAAACTTCCAATTCGACCACCACATGACCTTGTCTGGAGTGTAAAAGTGAAACGATGTGGCAGAACCATTTATGCAGCAATTATCCTGTCACTCTGGCCACAGGTCGATCTGGCTTCAGTATCGAATATCGATTTAATTGCATACAAGAATACATTACATTCAAGAGTAGCTTGTCCAAAATTCACAAATTCGTACCACATTTTTGTGCAACAAATGCATTTAATGCTATGACAATTTGTTGGACAATCGTACTTTAAAAATGTTTTCGTTTTCTTTTTTAATTTTCTGATTCACTTCCGAGTTAGCATATATACCATATTTCATATTAAAGGTTTTTTATACACATCTCATCTATTCAGGTGTGGCGTTTAATGGAAGAACCAGCAAGTTCCATTGGTGCAAAGATTATTTCAATTCTATCCGTCACAGTAATTTTTCTCTCGATATGGAGTTTTTGTATAGAAACTCTGCCAAGCAGTAAAGAACTTTTAGAAGACCTTTGCGTTCCTTTTAATGATACATTACACGAAGGATACGCGACTTTATCAATAACAACAGTTTCGTCACATTGGCCTTCTGCTGTAAATGGTACTGAGGTAACTACGGTACCAACACATGTGACAGCTACAACCTCAACTGTGAAGCCACCATGCCGTGTTGATATGTTGCGGTAAGTATTGTACGGAGTCGGTACGATTCGCCTTCGTGATTATTTTTAGGAGGAATAAATTCAATTTTTTCGACCAGGCGTGTGCAACCTTTAATACGGGAGGGCCAGATACAAATCTAAATTAAAAGCTCGGTTTGCGGGCCGTACAATTTTCCTCGTAGGCTGCATTTGGCCCTCGAGCCGCAGATTGCACACCCCTGTTTCAGACTTTCAGGATAGGTATAGGTTTGTAATATCATGATTGGACCTAAATCAGTGAACTCAGCGGAGATTTCTTAAATATGATAATATGAAAATGTTGGGTATTCTATGCCATTTCATTAAAATTTATATATTTTTCATGATATTTTCTTTTTTCTCAGGTATCCCTTCTTTATTATTGAAACATTTTGCGTTATCTGCTTCACAATTGAGTTGATTGTTCGATTCGTAGTGACACCCAATAAAATATCTTTCATGAAATCACCTCTTAATATTATTGATATTGCCGCAATATTGCCATACTTCATTCAGGTAATATTAATGTACCGAATTTGCATTGTATTGCTCTACAAGTAAATTTTTTATTTGGTAATGGAAATATTGCTCTTCATAATTGATCTTGCCAATCCCAATCACTGCAATTCATTGAAAGGTAGTACTATAGTGTATTGAGTCACATGTCATCAGAAACTTTCTATGATAATAAATGATGAAAATAAGCACAAAGTTTATAGCGTGAAAAATATTGCTACAATTGATTTATCGGTGGCATATATCATAACGAATAAAGCACTATACGAAAAAGGCATTTGTGTGTATTAAGATCAAATTATCTATTACTACTATTTAATCGATCTGTTTTGATTTAAAAAAATTAGTTAGAATTACATGTAGCAGTTTTTACATAATATTAATATTCATAAACACATAAAATTGGACTGTTTTCAAATTCTTTTTGAATTATAGCGTACTGAGTAAATGTTACTCAACACTTTACAATTCCGGAGGAACCCCAAAATACCCCTATTTTGTTGTTGAGTAAATTCCTCTCCAAAGTCAGTCCCAATTTTCTGCTGGAGCATTTAAATTTGAATTACATGTTGTTTTCAGCTCGGTGTCGATATTCATACAGGCTCGTCAGAATCTAATAGTTCCGAAGATTCTTTGAATTCACTCGTGGTCTTACGGATTTTACGACTTGTACGAATATTGAGGGTTTTTAAATTAAGTCGGTAAGTATATAAAATTCATTAATTAATTAATTGCAAAATAGCAATATTTGACTTGGTATGTGTTGCATAACGACCGAAAAAAGTTTATTGTTTTCGCTAATTGAAAGTACGGTAGTTTTTTTACGTTCGCATCCATATCAAAGATAACGAAGATTTTGACAACGCAATATTAATATTTAATAGTAAACAGCATTAATCATTCCGACGAAAGCAAACAGAAGACGCCCACTGCATCTCGGCTCTTGTTTAGGATAACCTGAATATTTTCAGACTGGTCCTATTTCCGTGCCATCTTCTCGTGTGGGATAATATTCCAAGAACGAAAAATGTTTGATATTATTGTACGTCGACATCAATAGCACGTCGAAATGTATTTTTAAATGTCTATGAAGCTTTAAATATATGAATAATACATTTTAATTTTGTCTACACCATGTCAAGAACATTTTCACAAGAAGTTAGATGTCTGACACCAAGCATCGTTTAGCGTAATTAACTGTTTAGACAGATTTCTAAAATTTTACCATAATGGAATTCACGAATATTACATTACAATGACAGGTACTCAACGAAGTTACGAGTTCTGGGAAGAACTCTCATCGCCTCAGTCGGAGAGCTTTCAATATTAGTATTTTTCATATTCCTTGCAATGATTCTTTTTTCAACTGTTGTTTATTTTATCGAATCAACTTCGGGTCCAGGCAATAAGTTTGACTCCATTCCCGCATCGTTCTGGTGGGCCGTTGTTACCATGACAACCGTAGGGTAAGTGAAATACTAATTGATTTCTACCGCATTTGAAAACTCTTTAAAAATTAGTAAATCAAACCTGTTGAATGTTGGAGTGTAAACAAAGTACCGAGTCCAGTCCGCTGAAACCAATCCAAAATATTAATAGCAAAATATGGATTCCCAAAAATCGTTACTTGGCAGGAAAGTAAAGCTGTAGCGTTGTATATACGTAGCGTAATGCGCACAGAGGGGTAAATGATTCAACATGTGAGGTGCAGCTTAGACCAGAAAAGCCGTGGTCTAAATTTACTAGTATTCCCTGTGGATTGAATGATTCAAATTTCAATGAGATGCAAGTCAATGTGAAGTATGGAACAAATTTTATTTTTTTGGAAAAAATCATACGCTACGTGAAATCCATACCAGTATTAAAATCCATCTCATTTATTCCATATGTATATTTGATTATGTGATTAACAAATATTATTGTACTGGTTTTGCTAGCATCAACATTATAATTTTATAGGTATGGTGATGTCGTACCTCGCACAGTCCTTGGAAAAATAGTGGGATTTCTCTGTGCTATAACAGGCGTTCTTTGTATCGCTTTACCAGTGCCTTCTATTGTTAATAACTTTGTAAAACAATTGGAGGAAGCCGAAAATCCAACAAGAAAAACGAAAAGAGGTAAGAAGAGAAAAGGGAGAAGAAGCGTAATTGATAGAGTCAAAACTGTTCTGAACAAAGAGGCAGAATTTAGTAATCATGTATCTGTAAACGTGGATGAAGCAACATGATATGCTATGCCTTCATATCCAATGCATGATTTTCAACAATTGGGTGGATTTGATATGGTCAATCGCAAAAACAAATCGACTGACCAGTGTATGGAAAAATATCATCTGTGGCACATTGATAAGTACGGTCAATCGTGGTCAGTCGACAAAGCTCATCGGTGCGTTTTCAGGATGAACTTCTCTCGAACATGGACAGCAAGAGGTTGTACTTATATAGTATATAGTTACTAATACTTAAAGTACTATATAGTATATATATATATATACATATATACTAACAAAATGCCACTATAATTTGTACTAATCTGTAGTAAAATACGATATAATCTCACAAACAGTAACTTAAGAAGAGGATTGGAAAATTAAATACATAATTGAAAATTATTATTTGAAAAAAAAATTATAAAGTGTACGTTTGCTACATATGATGTAAAAGAAAGAAGATAGTCGTAATGCATTTTGATTCCATCATTTTCTGTACAGATGATATTTTGTTTTTGTATTAAGGTACGGTCACGTACTTTTTAATATAATTCTACTTTTGGATATTTAATGTACAAAACAATCATGTTTAACACCAGTTTGATTTTATGAATTCGAGGATATCAGCAGTAGAAAGGGTTAACTATTAAGTTATCTACTGATAGTAAATAGTACTATTAACACATTAGATTTTCTAACGGATAACACTTGCCACCAAGTCTGTAAATTTGCCATGTTTTACACATCAGGCTCAAACATTCCTTTAAGTCGGAAAATTGTTCTTCCAACCTTTGATCGTATTTTTATTTTTCACCTTTACGATGCCTATTTTGAAAGATTTTCAACTGGTTTACGTGTGCAAATGATTTACAGCTTCGAAATCGTCATTTTGCTTCAAAATATTCCAGAGCTATCGTTAAAAGTATTGACATGAAATTGGGCGCAATTTAGTCGATGTTTCTCCAACCATACTTCTGTCAATGAGAACTTTTTGCTGTTTATATAAAGAGATGGATTACCCATTTATCAAAATAAGCACGTGTTTAGGGCATCAAAGGTAAATGGGGCACCACAGAACTTTCCATAGTCGAATTTTCAATGGCGCTTCAGTGTTTAATGAAATAATTCGAGTACCGCCAACCAGGTAACGCCTAAATTTATTTGTATTGAATATAAGGCGAAATGCCAAAGTCTACGTTACTCCTACTTATTCCACTTTCAAAGTTAAATATAAACAACTCCTGATCACTAATACCAGTCCAGTTGAATCTGTTAAGGGCCCTGAATTTTATACTTTAAATACTATTGTACTTAATATTCCATTGTTTTGGCCGAATGACCATTTAGTCTACTAACTACTTGCTGAAATAATTTTTATCTCTCAGTCATTGCTTTTCCATTTTTCACCCTGTTATTTTTCCAACGAACAGGTACCACACCAGTGCACGGTACCAGGCCAGCATGTCCAGACGACTCTATATCCATACACTTCCAATTTCATTAATATAGTCTGGTATGGCCTACTCAAACGTGGTACCGGCTCACAAAAACTAACTTTCTTACATTTGTTATTCCATGTACTGTGATTATCATGGTTAGCACGCCAGTCGTGCCAGAAATCGTTCTTTCACATTGTAACGAGAAATACTGGAAACATCAGGTCGCATAAACGTATTTGAAAGGACCGGCTTCTGTTAATATATCTTGTTCGACTTTATACTACATACTACTTGAAGTTGCGTTGAAATGCTGTTGAAACCTTCAACGACTGACGCTTTTTACCAGTTTTGAAGTTATGGTAAATGCCATTTAAACATTCAACGACTGGTGCATTTCAACACTATTGAAGTTACGGCTAAATGTTACTTAAAACATTTAATGACAGGCGTTTCTTAACAGTATTGAAGTTACGACGAAATGTCATTTAAACATTTAATGGCTGACGTTTTTTAACAGTATTGAAGTTAGGGTGAAAATGCTACTTAAAACATTTAACGACTGACGCTTTTTAACAGTAATGAGATGAGATAACAGTAATAAGATTAAGGACTGACGCTTTTCAACAGTAATGAGATACTGTTAAAAACCTCAGTCAGTAAATGTTTGAGTGGCATGTCATCGTGACTTCAATGCTTTTAAAAATTCATGCAATTCTGCTGGAAAATAAACTTCTCATGTGCGCCATCAGACTGTCGAACGTATTGTGTGATTTTGCATCACACGGAATGTTTTGGGGGTTTACTCGTTCAATTGCACCGCTGCGATTATAAACACAGTAGCTAGTCATATTTTCCGGACATACGCCTTCTGCGTTTCACGCCTTGTATCCAGCGCCGGATTAACCATTAAACGAGAATATCGGTCGGAGACCGAAGATTTATGGTTTGAAACTGCGGTTTCGATTTATGACTCTATAGTGACACCGCGTGTCTCATCACTAAGTTATTAATAACTCGCTAATTATACGACATAATTCATCCAAAATCAATAGGCTTCCGAGATATGATGAATGCACATGCAAAACTTGGAGCAGATTCAACCTCGCCTTCGTGAGATATCGCGTTCATCTAACAGACAAACAAACAGATATACAGACAAATACCTACCAACATACGTACCGTTCTTAAGATCGATAAGTAACAATATAAGCACGTGTTTAGGGCACCTTAGCAAAGTGGGGGAACCTCAGAAATTTTAGAACAGAATTTTATATAGTTTATTGGCGTTTATTAAAATATTACGAGTTCACCAGACGACTCAAACTTTAAAATGTTCGCTTATTTTTCGTCTTCAAGTATCATATTAACCTTCTAAACACTTTTTTTGAACACGAAATAGGCCTATGAGTCGTTTTCTTAAATTGTTGTTGTTGTTTTTCTTCTAGTATTCTCCTTGTTGCTGCATTTTTGTTTTCTTTTGTCTTCAACAATTGGACCAATGAACTATTTACATGCACTATGTGGCGGTTCCACGATCGCATTTCAACGATCTAGTGGTCAGCGAAGTTGGGAGTTTTTTGATAAGGTAGACCGGGGTGGTCCAAACCCTGTCATGCTGATATATTCCGTGCGGCTCACAGAACAATTTCAGCGTATATTTATATCTAATGGAGGAACGTTTTTGAGTTTTTTTTAGCTATTCCAACTGGGGTTGGGATCCTGAGATTCAAACCCTTTATTTTAGTAAAAACATTCCTCTGTTTTCAAGCATTGGTCATGTGACAGTAGTGACGAAACGCAGAGCGGACTTAACGCCGCGCAATCCATTTTTTTTTAGCTAGGTCGCGAAATACCTACTTAGACGGACTGGTATTTGACGATGGCCCTAAGCTTGCTCGCGCTGCGAGTTTTTAAGTTACTCAATATAACAATTCATAATAAAATGAGTGTCGCAAGAAAGGTGACATAAGGAAAACACGACGGAAACGTATTTCCTCAACCATCACGCAGTGTCTGGTTTGATTTCAATTAATATCTGTCACGAAAGAATATAAGTTGGCGACATTAAACGCGAGATGCGGAACATACAACGGTAATTTTCGGGAATTACTTTTAAAATAACTGAAGGCTTTATATATCTTCTTTAAAAGAACGCCACCCATGCAACATAATAATAGTCTGGTTAGAACGGTAAACTCTCGTTGTTTATTAGATTTGAAACAAGTAAACTCGCGATATTTCGATCACTTTTGGGTTTTTCTCCCACTTGCGGCCTGGGAAACTTCCTCAAAAGTTTTTGCAGTCCTTCAACCTAGCAACCTTGAACCACCCTGAGGAGACTACCAGGTACAGGTAAAATTTCAAACTACAGTTGTGACTTGTATCCTTTGGTATTTCGATTCACGTTGAGACTGGAGGCATGAATCTTTATTGTCACACTCCCTCAGGATTAGAGCTCAACCGATATATCGGCCCGATATTGCGTGTTTGCCGATATATGATATCGGCAGTAAACGACCGGTATATATATATATCGGCTATATATATCAGTTAAAAAACCTAAAAGTGTTCGTAAAAGTTGTTTTATTTAGGCTACTGTTGGTTGTGATTATTTTTAATGGATAATACTCTTATGTGGTTTATTGTTTTTATATTTAAATTACACATGAGGGGGCACCAAAGGGGCTTAATCCGCCCCTGTCTGTATCTTACCAGACATGAAACATTATATTCATAGAATAAATTTCATAATGCAGTATAAACGTTATATTATTATGGGGGGATAAGGTGTTATGTCTGGATAAGATTTTCATATTCATATCGTGAAAAAGTTAGCCCTTACCATTCTTGTTTTTAAGCGAAGTGGGCTACTCGTCTAGTTTAGCAATCCATATCGGGTAAGATGAGATAATTTATTTTGAACTACGTCATGATTATGGATAGGAAAATATCTACCAGATATTCTTCTCAGATGCATGGATGGCTAAGGAAGCCGTGAACCACTCTACGATGGCGAGGGGCCCAGCGACTTTTTTTACTTGTCGATAGCAAGGAATCTGTCTACACGTTTTAAATGATTGATAACCTATGTTTTGCAGTTATTTTGAACAAAAACGTGTTATTTATAAGTAAATAGATATCGGTTTTCATATTTTGCACACTTGAAGATCTCGTAATTCTCTACTTTATAATTTTGATTTTGATAAATAAAAATATAAGACATCCCCGAAAATAAGCCCTAGTGGTATTTTTCAGGAAAAAATTGATATAAGACCCAGTCTGATTTTCGGGGAAACACGGTAATTAGTCACTACTATGGAAAGTTGATTCTTGACTCGAAAGTTGATTCTTGACTTGATTCGCGACTCCGGTCACGCAAAAACATGATTAGTACTGTAATTTATTCATTGTGTCACTTTATGTTTGAACGTGTTTTTTTGTGATGACAAAATAAACGATTGATTGATTGGTGGGAAAAATCCATTTTATGGGATGTATGAGAGGTCACGTAGGGTTATTCAACAGCTAGATTTAATATATACGTTCAAGTTACATGACGACAATGAAATCAGAGCGCTGCAGACACCACATCAAAACATATATTATGCCCAAAAGCTTAAAACTGTGATTTAATATTTGATGAATTGCAAAACGTGGTACCGGTACTCATTGAATGCAAATATTTCATGAATTTACTTACGGTAACGTAGCTCGTTTTCTGTTTACGGTCGTGAATGCATGCCGATAGGTCTGTTTTGAGACTAAGGTTGTCAATGAGATGTAAACATTCCTAGTGAATACGCCACCAGCGCATTGAAGAAATGATAACAGGATTGATATTACATTATTTTCATGTTTAGACGCAACTGTTGTTGTTTAATTTCAATGACCAAGTTTCACTACATCAGACAGAGATCAATAGCTGTGAATAGCGATAGCGACTTAGGCAAAACCCTCGTTGTTATGGCAGTAGGGGAGCAAATCAAGCTTTCCCCTTTACTGTCTGTTGCTGTTTCAATCTGCAGATCTGGATAGGAGATTCCACATACGATAGTTTTGAATGGGGTTTAGCTCATTCAGTACAGCAGTACCAGTATTTGGTAGGCTATATTCATCTGTTCAATCTTCTCCAGTACTCTCAACTACCGTAGGTACCGTACTTAGTGTATTTCTGTACTGCAGTACGGGCTATGCTTATTACGGCTTCATCCACAATCTGACAATCAAGTCCATGCATCTGAAAATAAATTAATAGCAAACTTATCTCATACGGTACACGATGTCTGTATGTGGACTGGTAACTGAACGAGAGCTGGAGAGACTATATGCCAAAAACCGAAACAAACTAACTTTTTTAGTAGACAATGACCCAACTAAAATAACCGGTGGCATTGGTGCACTAACCATCAAGCTAAAGATTTATTCTTGTTTGTGCTACAATACAAAATAACATCATTTTATACTCTCTTACAGTTATCTGTGGATACGTCACAACAATAATTTTGTAGATATAAATTCTATTTTTAAATGTCTGAGAGAAGGAAGAAAGATCGCTACAATGAAACTTGGACTAAAGAAGAACTGACTAGTTCTTTGAGAAAATCAGAAAAGTCGTCTCATAAATCAAGTCGTCACAAGGATGAAGATGATGGTGAAGATTATTACATTAAAAAAGAAAGAAAACGAAGAGATGAGAGAGATGAATCACACAAAAAGTCAAGGTCAGATCGTCCTCGAGAATCTTCTGGCCGAGTGAAAGATTCTGACGATCGGAAACGAGAACATCGCTCCAAACGTGATGATGATCGCGAGCATCGGGAAGATCGACATAGAACAGAAAATGACAAAGAGAAGTATTATAAAACAAATGGTGACGAGTCTCGTCGAGTCTCGGAAAGATCTCATAGATCAGAAAAATCGTCAAGAGATGACCGAGAGAGATCGCATCGTTCGGAAAAACCATCAAGAGATGAAAGAGAAAGATCTCACCGATCTGAAAAAACTTCGAGAGATGATCGAGAGAGAAAACATAGGGATCGAGATGAAGAATATTATAAGGAAAAAAGGGAAAGAAGAAGAGAAGATGATGATAAAAGACGAAAAAAACATGAAAGTGATAATTATGATAGAGATGAAGACTATGATAAGAAGCAGAATCGGGATGAAAAAAGCCACCGTCGTCAAGAAAAAGATCGTCGAACGCATGATGAAGATGTAGAAAATTTGAGAAAAGAAAAACGAGGCCAAAGAAGAAGGGAAAATGATGAAGATGAAGATCGTCGATTGCGGAAAGAAAAAAGCCGCCGGGAAAAAGAATCAGAGTACGATATTCATAAAAGTAGGGATCGAGACAAAGAAAGAGAATCTCGGAATGACAAACATAGTAAACCTGAGAAGCACTCGAGAAAGAATCGAGATGATGACGACTCAGGATCATATCGTCAGTCACGACATCACAGGAGTGATAATGATCGACATCATAAAGATGGTAAGAGTAACAAAGGAAGTAAAAATGACGAACAAAAGAGTATGAATTCAACCTATGTGATTGATGATGAAAAGGATAGATTGAAAAATGATAACAATAATGAATATAATTATGAAGATGAAGAGTTTGAAGATTATGATGATGATTTTGAAGATGACGATGATAATAATGAAGACACTCGTCCAATTTCGCATAAACAACCAGACAAGATGGATGAGTTAATGCGTGCTATCGCTGCTGAGAATGAAAGAGCAAATTCAGCTCAATCTTCTGGACAATTTCGAAGTACTGCTAATTCAGATCGCAACGATTCCCCTTTTTCAAGTTCTAACGATGCGGGAAGTCACAGAGAAGGATCTGCATCATCTGGCATCAGGAATACATCCTCAACAATGATAAATTTTTCTGCTGCTAAAAAGTCATCTGCGAGTAGTAAAACGAAGAGACGAGTTATTAAAAGAAGCAAAGATTTGATGAGTTTGATTCAACTTGACTCTGTTTCCTTTGATATTCTCGACATGCCCCCTGTTACTGAATATAATTTATACATCAAAAATTATGGCAATTCTAATACAGTGCAGGCATCTGTACAGTGCAATGATGACAATCTGGAACAGGAAATCCAAACAGAAAGTCCTGATATGGATGAAAAATGGAGTCAACATCCACCTCATGAAATAAAATGTTCTGGTGGAATCATGTCCAAATTTTCAGAAACTCAGTCGGAGAATGAAGATAGAGCTATGATGTTATCTACAATGAGGGGTAATTCCAAGCGTCTTATCAAATTTATGAGCCGTTCTTGTAAACTCATTGAATCAATTTTGATAGAAGATGAAACATGGGAGAATACTGGTGCCAGGAAGAATCAATCAAGTGCTTTATCATTTTGTGAAAGCTGTGTATCTCTACAAACAAACTTAGCATATTTGCAAGGGCGAAAAGTTGTTCATATAGCATCTAGTTCTGGTTCATCTGATAATTTTGTAGCAGTAGCATTTGAGCCTGCATCAACCAGTTTTTCTACAAGAATAGATCGTAAAGGTCTTGTTTCTGTATGGGACACCAGAAAGCCTGGTATCCCAGAAAAAATACTTGTTTGTGATGCTTGTCCAACATACTGCTCTTTTGGTTCTACGAAATCATATATATTATTCGTTGGTACGGATGATGGATGTGTTCTTGCTTATGATTTACGTGAACCTGGTATTCACCATCAGGTTGTTTCTCTGGAGAAAACTAGAGAGACTGTGTTACGAAGTGTAACTTACACAACTGGTTATCTTAATGATGGTCATTCCAGTCCAATTGTTAGCATCATGTCTGTTGGCGCAGAGTCTAAATTCTCTGAAGAAAATCAATTTGATTCTAAAGAAGGGAAATCACGAAATAGCCATTCTGGCTTAGCCTTTCAGCTAGCATCATTAGAAGAAGCTGGTAATTTATGCATTTGGATTGTTGTTGAATTATTACCAGATGTAGAGGCCGGTGATGACCTTGGCCTTGCACCACAAGGTAAAATCAAGCTAATAAGAAGCTTAAATGTGAAAATTCATCCTCCTGTGAAATCCTTAATTCCGGATTTGCCTTTTCGAACAACATGCGTACAATTTTCAGTCCTGGATCCAAATAACTTTTATGTTGGAACTGATACCGGACATATCGTTCATTGCACACAATATGAAGCAAATTCAGAATCAAGTATGGCAAACAAGAACAAAGTTACCTTTTTCAATGAGATAGATACAATATCATCAGTGACTAGTATAGACCTCAACCCATTTCAACTTTTTGGCGCATCGATGATTTTAGCAGGATACGATGATGGCTCCATAAGACTATATTTATCCGATAGAGGTCTTCCAGTTGTCAGCTGGCCCTTTTCAACTGACAGTGCAGGAATTGTAAAAGTACAATGGTCTACCTCCAGACCGTCAGTATTTTTTGTTCTCGATGCTTTTAATAGACTTCATATATGGGATTTAGCTATTATGCATGCTGGACCGATCAAAACGGAACAGTTTGAAAATAAACCTATTTGTCATTTTGCGTTGAGTAACACCCCTGAAAATTCCACAACAAGGACTCCTGAAATTGCAATTGCATACCGGTTTGAAGAAAGCTCTAATAATGATGTATCGTTAGTGGAAGTCCACAAGTTGGCACCACATTTTTCACAAGTAACGGACAACAATGAACTGGATCAGCTAACATTTTTACTACAATCCTTGCTATAATGATAAATGACTTTTTCTGTTATTGTCATCTGTATGAAGCTGTTCTAATGTCAAGCATCATGATAAGAATTGTTAATTCCTGGAAACAGGAAAGGAAGGAGAAAGGACCATGTATGACTGAAATGTTGCCTTTGTACTATTCAAAATGGCTAGCCAATTATAAATTTATGAAACTAGTCAATGGGTTTCTGCTGTATGTGCTTTGCAGATGATAAAACTGGGACTGTTTCTACATGTGCTGTATTAGATTTTGTACATTATCATTTGGGCCATTTGAACTGTCAGTTTGCTGCCAATGAGTTCAGATTTCAGTTTCACAATATTTGAGTTAGACATATATACTTTGCTTCCCTACTACTTAGCAGTGCCTGTCCCTGGCAGTGTTGAATTGTTTCAAATATTCTGTCAACTGTTATGTACTAATACCAATGTCTTAATGATAAATCATCACATAGCTCTTAGCATACAAGTAGTTGCTTGACTCATACTTTCTACTTTTTGCCGTGGGCTCAGATATGTTTAGCTCAAAAGATATGTTTAGATTAATCAAATATTTTCCAGAATATTGAATTGAGTATGGAGACGTTATTTGTGTGAGTTTGTACAATGTTTTTTTTATCACATTAAATACGCCTCATAGACTTGCTTTGCTTCTATCAATCGACATTAACTGAGTGCTTTCTAATGTGAGTTCATTGATTATAGCCTATATTCCTCATGAAGTATATATATTTGAATAATAATCTGATGTTGGATTATATATTATAGCACCTTCAAATGGGAATAGTGCAATTTTTGGTCACATTTTTTCAACCAAAATATGTAGCATAAAATATCACTTTCTGACACAAGATTTTAAATTCAGCACTGAACATATTTTGATAGCTGAAAAATTTTAAATGATTTTTTCCCAGCGCAATTCTGTATTTAAAAGCTTCATTTGGGTACAGTATTCAAATCTCAACTTTAGGTTGTGATCATCTTTAAGGAACATCTATCTCCGTAGTGGACAAATTACCCTGAACAAATTGATGATTTGTACTTGCACACACAGAATTTCTGTATTATTTATTTATTTAAGTATTCATTTTTTTCCAAAAGATTCTATTTTTGTACAAGATTTGTAAAATTTGCATTGTGAATGATTCGTATGCTTAGCTGATGTCATGTCACTGTGTATGTTGTAATGATGATGTATATTAAAATCAAACTACAGACTACTACTTGTGACTGGTGTCGATAATTTGTTGACGGGCATAAGGCGACGTTGAAATATATATATATATATATATAAAGCAGTAAAGGTGTTACAATCAACAGAATCATCTCGCAGACGTAATTTTTAGAAGACGACGGAAGTAGTGAGAATATACGTAGCGGATTGCGAACATATCAATCAGAATAGAAACAATTCGGGGACAGATCAAATAATTGAGATACGAAGTACTCCTGGGAGCTGCGGGGTACTGAGTAAATTAAACCAGTATGCACGTTTATAGGATAGGATTTACATATTTATACAGGGGGAGAGCCGATAAGACGGCCGATATGGCGAACCACGGCCTCTCGCCCGGTTACCATTCCAAGTCGGGTATGTGATTAGTTATAATGTTTGTTTTCGGAAGCATGGACTTGGTGGTAGAGGAAGCCTTAACCGACCAGCAGTTACGTAAACCACCGAACGACGGCGATGAGTCCAGCAATCCCCTCGCACATAACCATCCCTGCATGGGATTCGAACCTGCGAACCCTCGCAGAGTAATTAGAGGTGCGGTGGCGAACGTATTCCTAACGCTTAGCCCGTTGAGCCACACCGCCGCGTTATTCTACCAGTCATGGTGCCTCGCTATTAAAAAAATATTAGATAATCATGATAAATATAAGGCAGTGGTTCCCAGACTTTTTTTCGCGACCCCAATTTTATAAAATCATAGCCCACAGATACCGGTAGTCGCGAGTCGCGACCCCACAACTAGAAACGTTCAGCAAATTCAAAAATCAGTAGGCCTAAATCAGTTTGATTATCTCAATGGGAACAATGTACCTTTACATTTACAGTGTACACAAACTGTAAGTGGACGTTGACGGTGAACATTGGCCCAAATAAATATATGAACGAGTCAGGCACGGCGTCGGAAAAATGCAGAAACCTCAAAATATTTGATAACACATGGTATGAAAATCACGATGTAGAAATCTCTTAGATCATAAATATACTTTGGCAAAACATAGACGGACTTGATCAAATGTGGTAGATTGTAAGGAAACGTACGATAGCCTACTTCGGAAATAGTAAGATTGCTTCTAAGTATACATAAATTTAAAATCTAATTTGGTATATTCCAAATTATATATTATTATATTATTTTTTTATTTTTAGTTCAATATCAACATATATATTACAGATTGCTCCCTTATTAATTCGAAAGTAAAACAGAGCATGAAATTAAAAAAGAAAAAACGTATACGGAATCATATCAAAGTGCCTTTTATTATGTCGAAATTGTTGTGGTTTTGTGTTTGACTTCTCGGAACGCTTCGAAATTATGTATGAAACGTCTGAATACGTAATATTGCTATACAAAAATGTTCACTGTTAACTTTTATGTGGAGGCGATGTGGACAAAACACGTAGCATAAACGTAGATTTAAGGATTAACAAAGAGCTTCCGAGCGGGTGGAACCACTGGTTTAGCCTGCAGTTATTCATGAATGAAAAGATAAGGACTAAGATCAACTACTCATTCGGATGTAACATGATCGAAAAGCTATAGAAAGGAAAATATTATTGGCGCTTGCAACACTGTCACTCAATTGTCCTTACTAATATCGGTACCTGCCGACCAGTTGAAAAGGTTGGGTACCATATAAATAAACCGCTTCACTCACCAAATTGAACCCAAAACTAGCTAAATTAAAGTCCAAATTATATCAAATACTATCAATGAGTAAAAACACCGGTAACTATGATTAAAATTAATTAAGGCAGTATGATACTGAGGTTGGAGAATGAGTTATGAATATATATACAGGGTATTATTAGTTCAAGCAAGGCTTTCCCATTCACAGTCATGGATTATAGACAAGGAATTATAATTGAGGTTGTCAATTACTGGTGGCAGTTCATATTTATTATGGATGATCCATCAATCTGCAAATTTTGTTGATGTAGACACCATTCATGTTGAATAAGCTAGCTGTTGAATCGGTTAAATTGATCATCACGAAACGACCTGAGAAACGAAAAATGAATCTGCGAGTAGAATATTCAATAATTGCATATTAGGAAACAACAAAGAACTACCCTACACATTTGAGAAGAAAGTATTGATTTAGGAAATATTGATCGGTAATCATCTTTCATCAGACTGCTAGTTGAAAGATTTGAGGAGAGAAAATTTTTGGGACACGGGGGAAACTGTTCACAAACTATGAAAAACTTTCAATTAACAACACAAACCATTCACATGTTGGTCATTACGTTAACTTGACAGCTAAACCTTAACCAAAAAAACAAAATTTCTGTATGCACACAGGGCACAGCATAGAATACCACAGCAAATGTAAACGAATGGTGGAATCCAATATAGCCCGACTGGTGACAAATCACAATAATAGGTACAGGAGCTAAATTATACCGTCTACATCTCCTATGTGGAATTACACCATCTAAATAAAAAACAAAATATTCATATAGTTGGGAGAGCCTAATTACATGACTGTCCTCCTAAAGGAAGGACGGTTGGCAACCCTAAATTTGGATATGATTAAGTTGTTTTATCGGATTTCTCCCCCGGAATAAATAAGAGCATTTTATCCTATTTGTTTCGGATATATGACTCATCGCACCACGGCGTTGCCGCCAACATGGGGAAATCCCCTAATAAGGCGATTAAGATATTCTACTTGACTTTGCTGTTATGTTATTGTGACTAATGAAGCACAGTTATTAGCATGTTAAGAATTCATATTGTTATGGAGGTTTTATGCAACTTACTGACTTAGGCACAAAGTAAGTTTCTTCATATCTACTTGACAATTATTTAAAGGCAATACATGAAAGATAAAAAAATATTATTATAACATAATGCTGTAATGCCTGACCTTATGTTGAAAACATGCACCATGCTGACTATGCAGCTATGTCAATTCTCATAACTCTGAAGGTCGGTTTACATAATAGCAAAATTAACTGGAAGATTTTTGGATAGATAGAAAATTCTATTGATAGGTGCATAATATCTGAAAAACATTATAACTGTGTTATGATGCAAGGCTCAATTATCATTGGATTTTATATCCATTTTAAATTGAAGAAATAGCTCACTTACAAAGATAACTTTCATACAATATGAAGACATGGTCTAGTGCAGTAGTTCCCAAACTCATTAGAAAAATTTCCATGACCAGATAACACACCCATTGCAATACCATTAATGGCTCGCAGATTCTGTATTGAAACCACACTATAAAAAGATCACAATAAAAATATCTCAAGTGTCTTGCCATTTAGCAAGGCTTTTTTGCCGACGAGACAAAATGAACTGCGGTTTATCTTGCCCACCTGCATTTATAAAAATATCAGACAACTCACGACACCAAAGGTTTGGTCAGAATGCATTATATTATACTTGGATATTTTATATAGTCAATGTTAAATTGACAGTTGACAGTGGAATGGAGTCAATTTCTACAATATATATAGATTTCTCTCATAATTTCTACAGCCTTCCTCCTCGATCCAAGTCCATCTGTAACCATTAAAAATTATATGAATGAATGTTAACAGCGTCTTTCTTTTTGGCACAAATATAAAAATCTCATCTTAATAAAGCAGTGGTGTCCCATGTCTTAGTGAAGCATTTCATACAAAGTTTTCATGGTATTTTTTATTTTCAAAGTTTTAGTGGTAAGATCGAAGTGGTGTATTTTAACGCTAGATAAATGGATGAAAATGCCAACATGGTTCCACGAATTATGCTTTCTGGATTTGATGCTGAAGCAGAAAAGAAATATATGATAAATATTATTAAAAATTTAAAGGCAATTTATCTATCCGATCCTGCAAATTCACAGGTGTGTGATAGATTTTTTTAACATCATTTTATGTGGTCTTGCGGAAAATACATGTTTATGTACTACTGTGTCTGTGTGTAGAGCGGGTGTGTGCAACCTGCAGCCCGCAGCCCAAATGCAGCCCACAGAGAAAAATTTTGCGGTTTGCGGAGAAGTGCAAATTTTGAATGGTGTTGAAATTTTGAACGGCCGCGAAATGAGTTTGTGAATAATTCCAATCCTTTTGCGCTGCAAATTCTATACTGAGTCCAATTTATTATTTATGCCTATGACGCTACAATGCCCTTGGAGCTAGTTTGTGTGAAGCGAACAACACATGTCATAAGATGAATAATCATGATTTTTGTGTTTGCAACTACTAGAAGGCCTAGGTATGTTTGATAAAGTTGACGCTCGTGGTTTCACCAGGTTATTTGTATTTGGCCCGCTTTTAGCAAAGGTTGCACAGCCCTGGTGTAGTGTTTGTATTATATATGAATTTGATTTATTCATATGGCGGAACTTTGAAGCTTTTCAATTTTATTTCTAAGTGATTTGAGGTGTCTCTATAGTTTAATAATGTTCTACTCTGTTTCATATATTTTTGAGATGCATTGTATCAGCAGCGGGTATTTGCTTTATATCAAGTATAATAAAACCGATATCATAATGTCAAATGAATATGAATATGGATACCGGCAGTTCTCTGTATCTACAATTTGTTCTGTACTTCTCTATGTGTTCTTATGTTCTTTACATTAGTAACATTGGTTTATTTTCAGGATTACATCCACTCCTGTACTCATATTGTATGTAAAAAACCCAATCGTTGTGAAAAGTATCTCGCTGCATGTGCATCAGGTATGAAATTGTAAAGTATAACTCATTTCGTTCTTTTTCAAGTTGGTTGATAGTTTGTAATTGGAAATTGTAAAATTTTGCACATATTTCAAAGCCTATTCAAAGCCAGTACTCAGTAGTGTTTGATTAATTGTTTATATTATCTTTAGTAACCATGATGGAAAATTATTTTGAGATTGTTTCAATTTTTAGGTAAATGGGTTTTAACACCATACTTTCTTCATGAAAGCAATGTGAAAAAACAGTGGGTGCCTGAAAAAGATTATGAATGGGGAATAAACATTTCCCCTCTTTATCCTAAAGATTTACAAACTGTAAGTTTTATTTGTTGTGTAAGAGGTGTTCTTATCCGTACTCTATGTTTCACATTGATAAAAAATAATATCTTTATTATTACATCCTTCCCAATACTGGATATTGTAGGACAGGGGTCTGCAACCTTTGAACTCGGCGTGCCAGTTTATAAATAATAAGCACCTTCGCGTGCCAAACATTTTTATGTGTATAGTTTGCATAGCCAACTACCTAATTTGAATAGTAAGCAGATGAGAAACAAATTCATTTTATTGGATAACGTGCATGGAAACTAGCTTAGGAGAGATTTTGGCATAAGGCATTTCTACATCCGACCTGTCTTTGCACGACTTAAGTAATAGGTATTAGCGCCACTCACGATTAGTTTTGTAGCCAGAAACAATAAAATCGCGATAAATACTGAAAAAGATAAAATTTATTTTGGTACTCCTGTAGTATATGTACCAGGTTAAGGTCTGACCATAATTTCAGGTACAAATACTAAGGGAGTCATTTGGCTAGTCCCCAAACTTGTAATAGAACTGAAATGAGGAAAATTGGAATAAAATTATGCCCTGGCCCAAACCTGGTACAAATTCTACGTTCCGGTGTACGCCATCTTGGTGCACATACTACGGGACGCCTTCATTTCATCGTTTTTGTTAGGGATACATGTAGCTCACGGTGAAATGATGAAAACCAGCCAGGCGCGCAGTCAGGATTTTCGAAAGGGGAGGTTTCAAAATCGAAAATTTTCATTCTCTTATGAAACAGTCGCCGCGATTACGCGCTCTATAAAATGGCCGAGTTTTTCAGCATATACCAACTTTTCTGTCCAGTAAAATATTCAATTCATGACAGCGACGAGAATCTAATACTTTCTTCTATATTGATATAATTTTGTGTCCAACGTGACTCGCGGTTACGTCTTCTTGCGTCAAAATATAAACATTGTTAGTCTGAAATACCACCCAATCTTTTGATGTAAAAGTATGAGATAAACATGCCTACAGGCTAATTGTATTTAGTTTCGATTGATTGTATAATAACTCTCAGCGAATTTCAATTCTGGGCAAAAATAAATAAATATTAACGTTGTCGTGAAATAATTGTTGTGATTCAGGGAGAATAAACACCAACTAAAAGTGTCTTACGGCCTAAATAACACGTCACGCTGACAAAAACGATCAGGAATTTTAGCAAAAAGCAATCGCAGCTGGTATTTGCGACTTTTTCAGTTTTCCAAGAATTTGAAAGGAGAGGGATGACCGACTGACTGCACACGCTTATCTACACCGATTTTGGGTACAGATTTCGGCCTCTCGTCGATTGCAGTTAAATATTGCATGTTTTTTCAATGAATTTGTCGCTTTGTTATTTTTTGTTCAATTGTAGAATGTTTGTCGCACTACGAAAATAAATATCTGAACATGGCTCAAATCGCTTGGCGTGCCACGAGAAATCCTCTCGCGTGCCACAATTGGCACGCGTGTCAGGGGTGCCGACCCCTGTTGTAGGGTATATGTGAATTTAACGGTTATGATCACTGATTTTCTCTGATTATCATGTATAGGAGTTCCAGGTTTTAATTGTTAAAAATCCTGTTTCGAATTTTGTTTTTTTTATCCTCTGTAAGAGATGGATTATATTCCTTAAACCCATCCATACACGCGGTAGCGTGGTCATGCTATCGACCTTCGATTCGAGTCCGTTATTCGCGCCGTGCATGGGTTAGGAATGTGGCGGTGGAGGAAGCCTTAACTGACTTGTGGTTGCGTGCGTGAACCACCATGTGCTGGCGAGGCGGATACTGTCCCCTATCCCCCCAGGATAAATATTTTAATCTTAATGCTAATCTCACTCCCAAATTTGCATGGTAAACAAAAAAAAATAAATAAAAATTGAATCAATTAAAAAATAAAGAATGATGCACAAGACATTCATTTCCCCTGTTCTGTAAACTGAAAGCATACCAGGATGAGAAAATATCAATTAGTAGGACTACAAAACGACACAACACATAAATACGCACATTTTCAAAGTCAATCTGTGAAGGAAGAAAGAAAAAGAACTAAATTTATTGCGAGTAATACGGTACAGGAACTGAATTTCTCTCTCAACATTGTCAAATATTGACATTAAAAGTTTGTCCTTCAGGTGGCGCACATGATCAACTTTTTTTATGCAGCAACATACTAATCTTTCTCAGGATTTAAAAAATGACAATGCAATTCCTCGCACACTCTTATATTATTTCTGAGACATATTTCTGAAGAAAATTACGAGTTACTACTGGAATTCCGAGATTTATAAAAGCTATCCTAATGTCTCCACGATTCAATCCTAATTAAAATGCGTGTAATAAGTTTGTATCTGCTCTATTCAAATTACAAATTTATCATTCTCATGATTAGGCTCCGAGACGTTGGAGAGAAAAAATTCACGTGAAACACATGGATCGTCCATTTCTTGGCTGGACCGTTGGTCTTGTTATGGACAGTAATTTCTATCATGCTTATGCAAGGTAAGCTATCAGATATTTTACGATTTATTGCAATCCGTTCTCTCTTCCTCTTTACCACTAAAAAGTAGTTTTTTTTATTAATCTTTTATTTTTATTTTTTTTTATTTTCGAAACAAGAATCGTTGAAGCTGGTGGTGGAACGTTTATCGACATAACTTCGAGGTATACTTCTGACTCTCAGTCGAAAACAAAAAAAGTTGAAACCAAACAACTTCTTACACACGTCCTTGTTACACCACAACTCGCCAGCAAGATATCGCGTTCAAGAGCTGAAGACGTACCTCATTTGAGAGCTGAATACTTGGCAATGTATTTAATCAAGGTAGGACCCGTTGTTTTTACACAAATTGAGCTAGGAAGGTGGTATGATTTTTTGCAGGAGGTAGTGTTTATATGACAAATGATATGAGAAAACATGTAAATCAATTGTCGGCAAACTGCGGCCCGCGAACTAATTATTTTTCGGCCCTCGAACGACTTTTAATACATAATACAAAAATTGATCCTAAATTCATAATTGTCTACACACAGATCGATGTCCTGTACTGCTGTACGGCGCTAATTTTGTTGCATGCGATGAGGGTAGAACATTCTAAAGTGCCTGGACGGGAAAATATATCTTTCCTGCGCCTTTCAAAACCTGTTTACTTGATATGCCATCCAGTATCGCAGTTATTGAGAAATTTAATATTGAACGTCATTACGGAACGTGTGCATTGCAAATAACAAAATCGAGCCAAGACCCTGGGATGCGACTGCTTATCTGTATGAAAATTTAAAACGTGTAATGTACATGATCACATATTGCTGTGAGCAGATTTATCCAAAATTGATATTCACACTATAAGAATAAGCATACTATGCTTGTCAAATCATTAATTGAATGACGCACAAGATCATTGAGAGTCATTCAATCAGCGACACCTTAATGCTGAATACAGCAGCAAATATTGCAACGGAACAATCGGATGAAAAATGATCTCAAAAACACACAATCATGGAACAACAATATATTCAAATAAATTCTACTACAGGGTCTTCATTTAGTGTGAGATGGCTCATTAGCGACACCCGGACAAAGTTGCCAGTTGATTTTAACGCTCTGACCTACACATAGAAACAACACCATCCTTTACACTGATGATGAGTAAATAAAAAACAATGTATCGCGTTTGATATAATATGAGAAACGGCCTCATACATGCCTCATTGATAAAGGCGTTTAACACAAGGCTAGAAGTTGCGAGTGAGCCATAATTTGAAGTTTTATGGACGATTGTCCGTAGGCGGAAATTAATACGACCCGCACGCTACCGGAAAGGTGCATATTTGGCTCGCTAGTACACAAAGTATGCCGACCACTGATGTAAACGATGTCTTGTCGTTTGGACACACATATTTAAAATTGAATCTCGGCTATGGTACTTGCTGCTATTTTTAGGTTTGTTTTAACTGACACGCGGCCTGATTACCGAGTAGTTTCAAAACTTTACTCTTATTTTTTCCGATTTTCCTGATCATTCCTCGAGGCATACTTCGCAACGTTGTCGCTTCCAATGGTTATTTGAAGCCATTATTGACGATTGATTCCAACTGTCGAAAGTGCTCGTTCTTGATGTTATGTACACTGTACAGCTGGTCAGTTTTGAAGTATCAATTTGAATTAGATACGTTCTTGTTGCATTTTATCGATATGTGCTGTGCTACGCGCAATATAAAGGATTGGCTTAGTTACAGGAGACAACATCTATGATGCCATACAAACAATTATGTCTGTATTGCCAGTATTTTAGTGAAGCGTCGCGAAAAATGACGTCGGAAATCTAAAATTACTTGAGTTATGTTGGCGATGATGTCACTACCTTAGTGCCCATATACTTGAACATTGATCTTTTTCGTTATAAACATGACGTGAACATCTCATTTTTTGTTTTTTTCGATACCTCAGGTATCGAAGGTATAGGTGGCTATTTCATATCGAATCGCAATACCATTACTTGGAGTGCTAGATACGAAACAGGTAATGTATACGGGGTAATTAGCGAACTGTTTTTCGCTATCGCTCGTAGCAAGTTATAATATATGTCGTCATATGAGGCGTTGAAAATCCACGGGATACGCCATTCGACGAAAACCTAGTTGCTAACAACTATCTTCCTATTTCACATGGAATTCTACCGAGTTTTAAAATCATCGAGGCCGATAGACTTATATTTGTTTCTACCATATCTACTACCTTTTTAATATTTTTTTAAGGATTGCTTTGATGTTTCAGCCTAAATAAAGTACCCTTGTCTGATGTCTAAATCGATTAATCATCCTCAAAGACGCCCAACTTCTAAATAAACATGCCCATCGTGCAAAACTGATATAATGCACCCCCACCAGAAATTTTTGTTGTTCTTGCAGTCTGGAAAAAATATTCGCTGATTTTCATTCGGCAAAGCCTAGACTGGCGTACTATCGATATGTAGTCTATTCTTTAAGTTGAGGCTGTTTTCAGTATTTGTTTGGACACCAAATGGAACTTTGTGGGTCGTCGTGTTATAGTGTTGTTTTTTGGACAAGATCGCATTAAATTTAAGCTTACTGGACGTAATCAAAAACACTTTCATTTTTTTTCTTGGAACATGCTGTTCACCTTAGAAATGTTGAGAGTTTTGAGGAAAACTCTCCAACGCGCGGATTCGTGACTGACCAATTTCGTTCCAAGGAAAGGCTTGTGTTTACAAAAACCCACGAGTGCCACCTTGTGTTCACATATTTTGGCATTTCGTGAAGTTATGATAATTTATGTAAATATAAATATACTCACCACATACAAAGTATACCATTAGAATTTAATTGACTTAAGTTTAATTTCACCCTAAGCTGAAATATGTTGGGATGTTTATTGGTTGTAAAGACTTGTTGGAGTATTTTTATTTCATCTTCCATATTCTCATTGGGGACACTGTCCAGAGGATCTAATAATGTAGGCATATACGTTAGAATGATCATATTAAAGACGCATAATAAGTATATAGAGCGAATTGTTTTTCATCCTAAACATTACCGGCTTTAGTAATTCGATAATGCGGTATTGAAACTACAGTTATTATTCATACTGTATGCAAATAATCAGTTATCACTTACCCGGTGTCACGTCACAATATTAATTTTTACACAAGTCCTGGATTTTACCCAGGTTAATGCACGACGCACTTACTATTTTCCTCCTTGTCAACTGTCGTCCTTAAGTATAATTTATGGATCTACTTTCGTTGCGGTCAAAGCTTAGGCGGGTACGCCGATCCAACTATTGAAAGTAAATTAGGCGAATAAAATTGGTGGCGAGTTTTTTGTTTTGTATTTAAACGATTTTTACATCCTCTTCGTGACAAAGTCGCTTATGAAATTTTCATCAAAGTGGATACACTTGGTTTCGTCATACATATTATAATAATAAGCGGTTATGGGTATCGTTCCCCTGTTCCCCCACCAAATATGTATTTTTATTGTTTTATGGGCATGATAACCAAAAACCCATTGCACAATTATACACTAATAGACCACCTGTGTTGCAATAATTATCGACTGCCAACGATTATTTATGTATGAAATATATAGATTTAGTATCTCTCGTCTCATGTGGCCACTGCTAAATGTGCTATCTGTCATGTGTTGTAGGATAAATGTAACTATAGATCTTTCTACGTCAGAATAGCGAAATAATAATATCAAACAGTGTGATAATAAACTAAGTGACAAACGCATTTGCCGAAACAACACTGTTATGCATAGTTTGATTTGCCAATGAGCCATGGGACTATGTATATTATACATTCATATATGACATAGTTCAAAGCCCTTTTGACTGTGCAATAAAAAGTTCAAATATGATCATGCGTGATGGTGATGAATTTTTAATATTAAAAGCAGTACTTTCGTGAGTTTACTCTATCGACATTCTTTGATTTTATTTAACCTTGGTCATGCTTGACAAACTTGTTTTTATTCAATGACATCTGTAACGACTGCATTACGTAAATACCGTAGTAATCTTTACTACTATTTGCTTTTTATCCCGCCGACACCTTAATTAATATGTAGTTTATCATCTTTACCGCCTGTCAAACGCTTCACCTAAAAACAATTATCACTAGAATTACAAATCCATAGCTTTTAATATTGTGATACCACACTTCAAATCGGCGAATCCCATCGGGTATGTCTAAATAAATGCCCGCTAATAGGCAACCGGCTCATAAAAGTTATGCTATTTTATAATATATGATGCTAAATAGGATATCTCTTTAATCAAAAATGGTGTGAATTGACATCCAGCCAAGGCTATCGCGTTGGGCGTGAGGCGCACCTACTCGAGAGAGATTGAATACTCGTCATGTATTCTCAAATGCTCTTTTACTGTCGTGATTGTAGCTTTGCGGTCACGGCTGCTGAAAAATCGAATAAAATCACAGTCATTTTTGAAGTAACAGATGATCTGTTTTCGAGTATGAGCAATAAATGAAGTGGACTGGACCGCAATTCATTTTAGATTATTACTCGGCGGTTTCATAAGAAATTTTGGTATCATACCTCATAGCCCAAAGAAGTTCAGGTCTTCATATTTCCAGAAGTATTCGTGTTATATTGCACTTAATATCACGTACAAACATCCATTTTTACATGATGAACTTGACTCTTTTACTCAGGTTTAAGAATAATCCCCAGCTGCCACTTGATGCGTAGTCATGCGAGCGTTCTACGTTAAAAAAAGTCTACAATGTGGGTCCATTTGGGTATACATGGTACTTCATGCCACAAACCAGCAGACGGCTTGCACCAATTCCGGAATAGCTTGTTCACACCGCAGAATTTTTTCAGTTTAAATAGATTTTAATTAAATGTTGTCTGAGAATGTCAAGGCTGTTTAGATTCAAGTACATTGGTATAATGTTTCTTAATTTGTTACTATATTGCTTCTTGTCCCACTTTGAATCCTTCCTATTCTGAATTCTTGGATTTTCTCCCATTATTAGCAAATCATCAAAGAAAAATAATATATACAGCAGGGTGTTCATAAAGTCTTTTTGCAATCAAAATATTGTTATGAAATCAGTTCTTCATATATAATAACCACATTTGTTACATTTTAAAGTGTTTATTTAGGTCTTACTTCTTTTAATACACATCCACATGTCTACCATTAGCTTCACGAAGCACAAAGTTATTTTGTCTATTTTGTTACCGGATTTTACGTACTCCTTGTGTAATGTAAAATGTTAACACAAGATTTTTGGACTTGACTGTGTAGGAAGGGGATATAACGCCGCCCAA